TAGGTGAGAACAGAAAGCATAGGAGCCAAGGGGTCTTTGACCCCCCCAATAAAATATTTGAGGGGCCAGGCCCCTCAAAGTTGATGGGCCATTCAATTGGTTTGTGTGCATGCAGTTATGTGGGGTGGGGCTTAACTGACTCGCCCCCCCCCAATATTGGCACCCCTGACAGAAAGCACTTTGTGTCAAAGCAGGAGGAGAAAAGAGGAAAAGCCAATGGGAGCAATGCAGTAAATGCCAAGTGATGGTTGTGTTATGGGATTTGAAGTTACATCTCTAATATCGTTCCCCTGGGAAGGCTTCTTTTTCACGAGGTGTCACTTCCCAGAAGGCAGTGGCGCAGTGTGGGAGGGGAGATGAAGGGGCCATAGCCTCAGGCCCCCTTTTTAAGGGTGCACAACCAAGCGCCCCAACAACAGGCTTCCTCTGAGCAACCCCCCCCGGCACGCCCCGCTCACCTGCCCCAGGCGGCTTGGGCTTATGCTCTGCCACTGCCACATGGCCCTGCTTTGGGGCTTCTTTTAGGCATCTGGGGGCCTCTATGAGGGCAGAATGTTGGACTAGATGGGCCATTGGCCTGATCAAGCAGAGCACTGCTTATGTTCTGAGACTAGGCAGATAACTACTATGAGCAGGGCTTCTCAGTAGTACCCGACATTGTTTCATATGGATTTGTTTCTGTATGATCTGGTCAATTTGAGCTGTCTTGAGAGCCCTTGTGGGCATAAATTATTGTTGGCATCCATCTGCCTCAAGAGGCAATGAAATGTGCCTCTGTGGGTGAAGTCATACTGCTATATTAACAGCACTGAAGTGGCTTCCCCTGGGTGCAAGTCTGGGCAGTGTGTATGGAGGTCCTGGCCTGCCCTGACAACAAGACCCATCTCTTGGCCTTGCTGATGTGGTCCAAAGGAAAGCAGAGCAATACGTTTAGCACCAGCTTGGCTGCAGGAGTTGCTGGAAGAAGCAACTGTCTTAGGGACTCCAGATTTGTATAGGGTTTGCTCCTTAGCCTTCTCCTCTCCTGAAGATATCCTGCAAGGCAGCAGAGGTTAAGGATCAGAGTTTTCATTCTCCTAGATGGGCTACCTTCCCAGGTTGACAATAAGGCTAATCATGGCGGGAAAAGATCTGGACTCCTCTCTTCTGCAAGCAAATGCTAGCTTCAACCAATCTGGTCAAAGTGATTGGCATTAAGTCTATAGTAAGACACCGCCCACTCTGTTGCATAGCCCAAATACCTGCATTCCTAGGGCCAAACTATTACCATAGATGTTAAACTATAGCATAGATGCTAATGTAAGGTAAAGGTAAATGGACCCCTGACCATTAGGTCCAGTCATGGCCGACTCTGGGCTTGCGGCGCTCATCTCGCTTTATTGGCCAAGGGAGCCAGCTTACAGCTTCCAGGTCATGTGGCCAGCATGACTAAGCCTCTTCTGGCGAACCAGAGCAGCACACGGAAACGCCATTTACCTTCCCGCCGGAGTGGTACCTATTTATCTACTTGCACTTTGACGTGCTTTCGAACTGCTAGGTTGGCAGGAGCAGGGACCGAGCAACGGGAGCTCACCCCGTCGCGGGGATTCGAACCACCAACCTTCTGATCAGCAAGCCCTAGGCTCTGTGGTTTAACCCACAGTGCCACCCACGTCCCTAGATGTTAATGTACATAACAGTAAACAATTTATTTTTATTTTATTTTTTTGCTGGCAAAGCTGATAGGGGTTATTTGCAGGAAGGAAAAACAACTGGTCACAACAATAACAAAAAGAACCCTCAATCTATTGTCATATGTATTTGTATGTAATGTGCAGTTTGGCCCTTAATATCCACAAGGCAATGTAAGGCGTGTGGCATAAAACAAAGAATCATGCTCCTTAATTCAGTTTGTGGGTTAAAGCAATTCAATAAGCAGTAACAGCTGTGGCTTTAATCACTCAAGAAATAAACCCTCTCATTATTTCCTGCCGCATATAGAGAGACAGAATGTGATAACTATACACCAAAAGGAAGGAGGCAATCAGTGGGGTATTTATTTCCTTTTATAGTTATGTAGTCTCCTATTTTCCTGTAGAGTAATGTGCACTTTTCAAATTTATTGTTGACTTAGAGGCAGCTAAATATTCATCAGCAAAATTCTAATGATTCTTTTTACAACATAACAAAGGTTAATGTTGTATTCTTCAATAGATTTATAAAAACTCGCTCACTATATTAATGCTCAGTACATTAATTTAATCATTTTACGTAGCCTGATTATGTTGTGCCCTGCCAGTTAAAACGTGTGAAAAGGCAAAGCAGTTGGGTAAGTGGGGAACATGCCGTAACTGGAGGGTGCCCACCAACCTTATACCACACTAGACCTATCCTTATCGGTCCCATGTCACAACCGAGGCCTGCCACATATCCACAAATGATAGCCTGGGCTGTCAGAATTATTTCCTTCATATACCAAGTCTACAAAGGACCCCAAACCCACAAGAAATCATCAGCAACCAGATACTTTCTAGAAACTGGTTCACACCAACCAGAACCTTCTAATAGTCTGGTGGCCAATGCATTATATATAAGAAACAGTGATAAAGAAGGAAGGAATTACATTAAATGTTACAGCAGATCCCAATTCCATTTAATTCAAATTTTATGCCCATGTTTGTTAACTCCTAAATACATTATCCACCTCCTCATTTATTTTGCTGATTTGCATGCTGCCTCAGACACTGGCACCATCACCCATCTGCCCCCTGTATTGTTCTTCTACACATCCTTTGTCAACCTTGTCCACTGCACAGCCCAAGTTTGTTAATTTGTGCTAATTTCTCTACACTAACTGAAAACATAAAGGGGAAGCTGAGGGCCAGTGCTCATCTAGGTAGCCATGGTTCTCATAGTATCCTGAGCTTGAATTGGAACCGAATGACCAGTGGGGAGATGTATGAAGGCTAAGATAAAAGTGAGCACAGTCTACATGACTGTATAGTGGAAATGGGTGAACAACACTAAGGGGTTGACCTTAAAGATCCATTTGATTCTTGAGCATTACTGTCCAATGCTTGGAAACATTTGAGGGATTATCTTGATTATAATGGGGCTTTTCAGAGGTAACTACCTCCTTGTGGAATGCTTATCCACCTAGCAGTGCCAGATTTAGGCACCTAAGGCACGGAGCCCAGGGGGTGCAAAATTTAGATGGTAGGCAGCCTGGTGACATCATTATCTAGTTTTAAGCACTCAACTTAGAATTTCCATGCTTTTTTGGTCAATGAGTGAATTTGTTACCATCTTATTTTTTCTTTTAAACCAGAAGATTCTTCTCTCTCTCTCTCTCTCCCCTCCCCCTACTTAGCAGAATGAAACCCATATGTTTAATGGGCACTAAGTACTTTTAGAATGGATATATCAATTGTTTAATGTAATACTTTCCCAAAAGTATTTTGGCCGATGAGAAAAGAAATATTGGACATAAAGTGCCCTGCTGGATGGTATTAACATTTCCTGGCTGAAAATAAAGTTTTAAAATAGATATTCTCAAACATTATCATGAGAGGAGATACCTGCTTTAATTATGAAAAAAGTACTTGATTTTCTCTTCAGTATGCATCACTTGTCCCCCACCTAGTGCCAACAAAAAGCCAAATTTCTTACCGTGATGGGCAGGAAGTAGAGGAAACCTCCACTCCTGACGGATGCAGCACAGTGTGTTCTTGGAAGGCTTGGAATCACACTGGAGAAAGGCTGAATAGTCCTGCATTGCAGGGGGTTGGACTAGATGACCCTCGGGAACCCTTCCAACTCTACAGCTCTCTGTTTCTATATGATCTGTAGATTCATCTGCAAAATGTGAGTATAAGAGAATATTTCCAGAAACACCAGGGAGGAACTAAACATCAGACTGCCACTCAACACAACAGTCATGTGTTCATCTTTACCATGCAACTTGTAGCAATGGAATTTCCAGTGCTGTTTTTCTAGAAAGCATTATAATGGCAATGGCACCCACCTGAGAGGTGCCAGAACTGAGTTCCGGTGAGTTTCAGCTGGAAAAAAGCCCTGGAAATTTCTGATATTTGCTGCCTTTATGCCATTGCTGTATTTTACAAGGAAGAGGAATGGGCCACAGTTTTGGACAATGGATCCATATGTTATACTTCCACCTGCAGACCATGCTCATGGAATGGGAGTGAGATTGCATCCACTGGCCTCACCCTCAACAGCCATACACTTCACCTTGAGAGATCATGCATACATGTGGTAGAGTTCAATGTCATGCTATTCCCATTGTTCCACTATGCAAGTGCTGCAGTTTGCCAGATGGAATGATCTGTCCTCTGCTAACCCCCACTGCCTGCTGCTGTTCTGGGGAGTCTCCTGACCCTGCCCAGAGCCAATTTCAGGTGGCACACAGGGGGAGGAGGGGGTCCCCATTGCACAAGCAGAAGTACTTGCACAGGGCTTTCACTGATGGGGCTGGTTCAGTGAATCTCTCCCTTAAAGAGTGAATTGCCTTCTAGTCTTGGTCACAGTGCCAATCTCCAAGAGTGGTGCCAATCAGGGCCTCCTAACATGCATTTTTAGAAACAGGTTTCTCTAAGATAGCATCTGCCATTGCTAGGGAGCTGTCATTGAAAATATTACACAAATGGTATGTGACACCAAGGAAGGTAGTTCTTGTTGGGATACTGCCAGGGAGACAAAGTCCATCATGGCCCCCAAGCCGGCTGCCGGACGATCCATCGATCTCCCGTAGGCACGCAGTATCAGCAATTAGTGACATGAGCTCCAGAAATAGCCCAACATCTAGAGCTGATGCACACTCTCTATCAGCAGATAATGCACAGCAGAAGTCGCACTCAGGAGAGCATTATTTACAAGTTTTATTCAGCGTTGATCAGAACAAAGAAAAACATGACTGCCTGCTTCAGTGTCTACGATACAGAGAGAGAAACGAAAGCAATAGGAAACATAAACATCCTGTGAACAGGAAATGCGCAGACTCTGCTCCCTTTTAAGGTGGAACGGAAATATCCTAACATCCTCCCCCTTTCCGTGTAACCTGTAGTACCTGTGGTTCAACCCAATTGCAACCTTTGTACGTAAACCTTAAGTTGTTTTCTGTTAACAACCTTAGACAACAGATCAGCAGGAATTTCATTTCCTGGCATGTAGGACACCTGAATGAGTCCTTTCTGAATACACTCTCTTGCACGATGTAGCTTAATCTGCAAATACTTGGTTCTTTGCTTGCAACTCTCTGAGTTCAGCAAAGCCAAACACGATCTATTGTCTTGATACACTTGTACAGGACATTTCACAGAAACTCTGATGTCCTTAAACAGTTGCATCAACCATTCACAATCCATGAGTGAAAATGCTTCACAGGAACTTAGGCTCACTGTCGTCTGCTTCTTGCACAGCCAGTCAAACAGACAGTGGTTGTACATGTAGCATACTCCAGAAGTGCTTGTACCATCCGTGGTGTCACTTCCAAAACTTGCATCTGCAAAGATTTCAAGACCTCCAGTCTTCTGACTGGTGAACCTCAGCCTGTAGTGCAAAGTCCCTTTTAAATAGCGGGCTATGCACTTCAGAGCTTTCCAATCCTGAACAGTAGGATTGTTGGCATGTCTGCTAAGCAGGTTACAGCTTACAGCTATGTCAGGTCTTGAGCATCTAGCAATGAAATTCAACTTGCCTAGAATGCATCTGTACAGCGTTGTGTCATAAAACGCTTCAGCAGTACTATCTACCTGGTAACCTGTCACCATCGGTGTGTCTGCTGGGTTTGCATCAACCAAATTCAACCTGGTTAATACATCAGCAATTTTCTGTGTTTGGTGTACCAGAAAATTACCTGCTTGGTCCCTCTCCACCTGCAGAGAAAGATAGTTGGATACCTCACCAAGATCCTTCATGTCAAAGTGCTCCTTCAGCTGAGCTAGGGTGCTTTGGTACAAAGCCTGATTCTTCCAAAACATCAGAAGATCATCAACAAAACATAAACAATACAGTTTGTTTTGCCCCTCCTCCTTGACAAACACACACGGATCAGCTTTGCCCTGGTGAAAACCTAGAGAAAGCAATGTCTCAGTGAGCTTTGTGTTTCAACACCTGGCACTCTGCTTGAGACCATATAAGGATTTCCGCAGTTTACAGACCATCCCCTTCTGTATCTGCATCCCATCAGGTGGAAGCATAAACAGCTCCTCGTCCAAAATCCCGTACAAAAAAGCTGTATTAATGTCATGATGGGAAACATGCAGTTTCTCCTCTGCAGCTATCTTGAGCATCAGCCGAATGCTCTCATATTTGACGGTGGGTGAGTAGGTCTCGTGGTAATCCTGTCCTGGTACCTGTGAAAAACCTCTGGCAACCAATCTGGCTTTGTGTCTGACAACCTTGCCATTCTGGTCTGTCTTGGCCTTGAAGACCCATTTGCTGCCAACCAGTCTCATTCCTGGGACTACCGGTACCAACTCCCAAGTTTGGTTCCTATTCAAGGAATCAACTTCAGCCTTCATGGCATTAAGCCAAGGCTCAGCATCTTTAGAGGTTAACTCCGGAACCTCTTTGAAGCTTGAAGGTTCCCACACCTTCTCTGAGCTACTAAGAACAGCAGTTGCTGTCTTAGCAAACTCATCAGCAAATCTCTTTGGAGGTCTGCCCTTGGTTGCCCTTTCAGATCTGCGTACTAGACGCAAGTCTTCTGGACTCATCTCCTCCTTCTTAGGAGAAAAGTGACCAATGGTGAACAGTGGTTCTTCCAGTTCATTGTCAGACACATCAGATGGTCTGACTGAGGCCTTTGCGCTCTTGTAGTCTGCTGTGTCATCACTGTCGCTGACACCAGCAGCAGCGCCGCCCACTGAACTGGAATCCGAACTCTGATCATCATCATCATCCTCAGCTTCCTCAGCATTATCTGCTTTTTTCACATCACCTTCATCATCCTCTGGGTAACTCTGGAAAATTCCCACATGTTCCCCCCACTTAGGATTGTACTCAACACTCTTTGTGAACTTAATGGACTTAGAGTCAGTCATCCATACCCTGTATGCACCTTTTTCGTACCCCATGAACAAACCATGTGCCCCACGCTTCCCAAGCTTGTTGCTTTGTGGGGTGTGTACCCACATGTCAGAACCAAAGATTCTCATGTGCTTGATGTTGGGTTTCTTACCAAACATCTTCTCATAGGGAGTACAACCAATAGGTGATGACAATCTGCGATTATAAGTGTAAACAAACGAGTTCAAAGACTCCCCCCAAAACTTCTCAGGGAGATTGGCATCATGCAACAAGGTTTTCAGTCCTTGCAGCAACGTTTGATTTGCTCGCTCCGCAAGTCCATTCATCCATGGCGATCTAGGCGTTGACAAGTCATGCTGGATTCCCTTCTCAGTCAGGAAAGCTTCAAACTGCTGAGAAGTGAACTCCCCGCCCCGATCAGTAAAGAGACAGCCAATACGTTTACCGTGAACATTCTCCAACCAAGCACAGAATGCCTTGAACTCGGAAACGCTTGCGATTTCTGCTCGAGCATAAACACATGAATGTACCTGGAAAAAGAGTCAATTAGAACCATGAAGTACCTTGCTCCACCCAAAGAGGGCGCAAGTGGACCAACCAGGTCTGCGTGCACTAGCTGGTAGGGTTTGGAAGCCTGCCTGCTAGACTCCTTGCCTTTGGAGCAACCTTCACCTTGTTCTCTGCACAAGATACACATTTCATGTGAAACTTACAGGGTTTGATGTTCAAACCCTCAACCATCTCTGGCATCTTGGCCAGTGCCTTCCAAGAGAGGTGACAAAACCTTCTGTGTGCATCATGAATGCATCCTGCAACACAACAAGAATCAACATTAGACACAACAGCACCATTGTCATCATAAGTTATACAGAACAATCCATCCATAAACTTTGCATGCAAAATGTCCTCTTTGCCTTTCCTGATGACACAGACGCTCCTCTTGAAGGAAATCTCAAAACCACGCCCAGTAAGCTGTGGGACACTGAGCAAGTTGTCTGCAGCGCCTGGAACATAAAGTACATCTTTGATGGTAGTGTGCAGACTTGCCAGTTTCACAGTCCCTTCTCCTGCGATTCACAACGTCTTTCCATCAGCCAGGTGGATCTCACCTTCTTGAGGTTTGAAGGAGATGAAGAAATGGCGGTCTTTCGATACATGGCGGGTACACCCCGAATCAATAATAAGCCTGGCCTTGGCCTTTGGAGCAGCCTTTGCAGCAAGCAAAACCTTGTTTTCCACCGGCGTGGGCTTTTGCAGCTTGCTCCCCTGCTCCTGGCCATCAGACTTGCCTTTAGCCTTTGGTGAAGCTGTGCCAGCAAACAAAGCCTTGTTTTTCCCTGGCTTGGGCTTTCCACCCCCCTTCTGCTTCTGGCCATCTGCTGGCTTCTTCCTTTGTTTATTTCCAGTCTTTGGACAAAACTTCTGAGTGTGACCTTGGGTCCCACAGTTCCAGCACTTCACAGCTGCCAACGCTTTGGCTCCCCCTGGAGGCTGGAATGCTGTCCCACATTGCTCCCCCTGGAGCGCACAAGCCGACTCAGCTGCATTCCTTCTATCATACTCATTTTGCAAAGTCGCCAAGACCTTTGTAGCAGTGAGGTCTTGCGCAGGGAGGGTCGCCAGCTGACTTGCCACGGCATGGTAGCTTTCATCCAGGGAGCCCAGGATGAGAATTGCAAACAGTGACTCAGGCATATTGAAACCTCTCTGAGTCAATTCCTGTCTGAGATGCTGCAAATGTAAAACGTGGGCTCTAAGGTCTTCCCCTGGCTCCAAACACTTCCTGTGCAGCTTTCTGAAATAAAGCAACACAGACCCAGCCTCTTGTCGGAGATGACAGGCTCTAAGCCCGTCCCACATCTCACGGACACTGGCCTTGCCAGCCAGGGTGATTAACTCTTCAGGAGCTACTGAGAGCAATATTATCCCCATGGCTCTTGAGTCCTGTGCCCTCCAATCATCTGTCACAGGGGCTGGGGCGTTCTCAGAAACGGTATTCCACACTCCAAGCTTTCACATCTGGCCCTCACAGTACCTTGCCCAGGTCTGATAGTTGTGGCCATTTAGCTTTGGTGGAGACGGAGCAGCTTCTGAGGATTGTAAAAGATCCATCTCAGCCTTTTACTTGAGCCGTGAGTCTTTTTCACTTCAGAGACTCCTTATCTTGGCTCTCATTAATCACGAAGCCTGCTTGGCTCGGCTCCCAGGCCAATTAGGCCAGCCGGACATCAAAAGCTCTTGCTGCGGCAAACAGAAAAGCCTTATTTTCGCTTTTCCCACATACCTCAACGCAGTCTGTCGCAGCCTTACTCTCCTGTAAGTGCTGTGAATCTGGGCCCATAACCTGTTGTTGGGATACTGCCAGGGAGACAAAGTCCATCATGGCCCCCAAGCCGGCTGCCGGACGATCCATTGATCTCCCGTAGGCATGCAGTATCAGCAATTAGTGACATGAGCTCCAGAAATAGCCCAACATCTAGAGCCGATGCACACTCTCTATCAGCAGATAATGCACAGCAGAAGTCACACTCAGGAGAGCATTATTTACAAGTTTTATTCAGCGTTGATCAGAACAAAGAAAAACATGACTGCCTGCTTCAGTGTCCACGACACAGAGAGAGAAACGAAAGCAATAGGAAACATAAACATCCTGTGAACAGGAAATGTGCAGACTCTGTGACTCACAAAGCCTGCTCCCTTTTAAGGTGGAACGGAAATATCCTAACAGTTCTAACCAACCCTTATATTTTCCCTATATGTTGAAGAGGTTGTGATATGGTCAGCACATGCCTCCACACATGGTGGAATTTCCCTCTGTTACAAGGGGTTTGGAAGTTGTCATGGCAGGAGATCAGTGAGGTTACTGATCAACGGATACATCTATTTCTGACATTTGTGTTGCTAAATATGTTTCTAGATTCTTGGTCATAAAGAGCTGTTGAGTCATTTTCTCTGGGCAGCACGAGCAGTAGTAATAGCTCAGAATGGGAAAATACTTCAGAATATACAGTAAATATTGACCAGTGGTGCCAAAACCTTTAGCAATGTGCTCTTTTAGAGAAATTAACACAAAAACTAAGGGTGACGAGGGGACAAAAGATAAAGGACTTATTTGACAAAACATGGGAATTGTGTGTTGATTAATAAGGTATAAAGGTGAATGAGATTTTAGAGGAGGTGCAGTACCTCTGGTGAGGAGAAACATTGTGCTCCTTCTGGGGTAATTCTTCCACCACTTTGCACTCAGCTCTCACCTGTGGCTCCTGGAAGCTATCAGCATGCGACAGCACCAAAACCCCGGGAAACGGCTTTGCTGGGCCAGCTAAACCAGGTAAGGGTAGAATATAGGTCTCAAACCCTTGCTGAGTTAGAGATTTCCCCTGCATGCAAAGACATGTTCCAGTGGATTAAGTGGGCAAGACCAATAGTAGGTTCAACCATCAAGACGGTGGTTTCTGCACATGCTGTAGAGGGAAGTGAGTGGCAGAAGGAGCGCTCATCAGCATGGGAAGGGAGCCCATCTAGGAGAAGGAAAACTCTGATCCTAAACCTCTGCTGCTTCATGATTATACTCATTCATGAGATAGGCTTCAGGAGTAAACCCTGAATAATAATATCTATCCACTGCCTTGTGCAGTATCTTCAGGAAAAGAAAAGCCTAAGGAGTAAACCCAATACAAATCCGGAGTGGAGTCCCTAAGACAGTGGGATGGCTCATTTCGGCAACTCCTGCAGCCTAGCTGGTGCCAAACGTACTGCTTTCCTTTCCTTTAGACTACATCAGTGAAGCCACGAAAGGAATCTTATCATCTGGGCAGCCCAGGACCTCCATACACACTGCCTCAGAGTTTTGTTTTCCCATAGTGCACTCATCCATTGCCCCTCAAGACAGACAGATGCCAATAACAAGAAAGGATTAGGCCTGCTCCTCCACCCCAATATACACTTTTGAATTATCTCTTCATCTCAAAACCCTGTAAAGAAAAACTGTAAAGAAAACTCTGCAAAAGAAATATAAAGGAGAAAGAAAATTATTAGTATTTATAGCTATTGAACTGTCTTAAGCCTGTTGTGTTAATAACTCATCCTTTGAATCTGTTCTATTTTTAATGTGTACTTTCAAAAAAGTTTTATTATGAGCTATTTAAAAAAGAAACGCACATCCTTGTGTTACACTTTATGTTGTGGTATATATGTGACACATATTCTTGGCATGTAAAACATGAGTCACCTCTAATTCAATCTTCAGTTCCTTTTCCTTGTGTGTAGATACAGAAGTATCCTTGGTGATTAGTGAATCATCCTTGCAGGCTCTTTGTTAACATGTCCTCATTAAAGAAAACGTTTGTGTTGCTTTCAACGATTCCACAGCATGAAACCTTTTGAGTGAGAAGTTCATTACTAGATATATAGACCTATGGAATCCAATCAGAAGCTGGAGTGGACCTTCCTATGGAGTTCCTCTAATGATAACATTTACTTTCTTTCCTGTACATTTGTGAAAATGATTTAAGTTCCTGGGAATCTGAACATTCTCATTATGCTCTAGTACAAAAACATGTTTAGAAGTATGGAAGCAATGATGCTGGCAATATATGCTTTTCTTTTCCTTTCCATCTCTACCTACCTATGAGGAGTGTGGCTTTTTTCCTCCTTTATTTATTTCCCAGACTTAGAAACTGCCCTTCATTACACTGTAGTCTGAGTGTGATTTCCAATACAATAATACAGGCAATATATAATATATACATCAACACCCACACTCAAAATTTATTTAATAGAATATACTACCATACCAAGCAGTAATCAAAAGAAGATTAATTATAGACTAAAAGCTTGACACCACTTGAAACCAAGACAGCCCAGTTTATTGTTCCTACAAGGGAATGTGACATAACCTTGCCTACAATGTAATTCAAAGTAAATTTGGTAGCTCTTGTTTTGTAGACAACTGAGGGATATTAAGTAGATTAGGCTAGCAAAATTTATTTGGAATCTGTTGATTCACACCAGTGCTTTTAGACATAATTTCTACCCACTCCTAGGCTAAAAATATTCAAACCAAACTCATCCCTCCTGGATTTAAAACATTTACAATTACAGATATTGTAAATTTCCATGTTGTTGTTTGTTGTTGTTTAGTCATGTCCGACTCTGCGTGACCCCATGGACCAGCGCACGCCAGGCACTCCTGTCTTCCACTGCCTCCAGCAGTTTGGTCAAACTCATGTTAGTAGCTTTGAGAACACTGTCCAACCATCTCGTCTTCTGTTGTCCCCTTCTCCTTGTGCCCTCAATCTTTCCCAACATCAGGGTCTTTTCCAGGGAATCTTCTCTTCTCATGAGGTGGCCAAAGTATTGGAGCCTCAGCTTCAGGATCTGTCCTTCCAGTGAGCACTCAGGGCTGATTTCCTTCAGAATGGATAGGGTTGATCTTCTTGCAGTCCATGGAACTCTCAAGAGTCTCCTCCAGCACCATAATTCAAAAGCATCAATTCTTCGGTGATCAGCCTGCTTTATAGTCCAGCTCTCACTTCCATAATTACTTCTAAAACTGGTTGAGTTTTGGACAAGGGGTCCTAACCCTGACATCCCACGTTGCGTGGAGAATTGAACACAGCCACATCCTTTCACGAAGATTCAGATTGTAGGCATTGTTTCTTGCAGAGGCAACAGACTGTTTGGATCCGACGTTTATCAGCTGTGCACTTTTAGAGTGGCACAAAACACCCGAACATACTGAAAAATCCCAATTAACAAATTTATATGCTAATGTCGTTAGCTGAGCTCAAGATCGAGTAATTGATACTGACATATCTGGATTTACACTGCTTTTTAAGCATCTGTGGCCAATTGGCACTTAACTTCTGAGTAATAGAAAACTCTGATAAACTTCAGGAGGAACTCCTCTGAACATAAAAAGCTCCAAACTATAGTAATTTGCCATTCCTTCTGAATGGAGGACTCTTGATTTTAATGAGCTAAGTTCTCCTTTGTTTTTGTGATGCAAGATGTCAAAGAGAAAACCAGCAAAATCCATTACCCATCAAGGGCTAGAAATTGGAACAATAGATTCTGCGAGGAGGTTTGTACATCATTGTTATTGTACAGGTCAAACAATCCTCACGCTGCAGATCTGATATAATAAAAGTCTGGTACAGCATTACTGCTCTTGCTATTTCATTCAGCACAACAATGAATAAATGCTGTTGTCCTGCTGTGGAGGGAGGTTGAAAGACAAGTCAACAATGCACCCATAATTATATTGCCCTTTCTCTTTTCCCATGACAGCTTAATGTTATTCGTTGGTAGGAACAATAGTCAGGGTTTTGTGAGCCACAAGTCTGCACAAATGCTGCTAAGCATAGAATGTGGCATTAGGCACAGCCCTCAACCTGGAATATAGGAAGCTGCCTTATACCAGGTCATGTTATTTACCCAATATTGTCTACCCTGTACATTGTCAACCTATATAATAGCGACTCTGCAAGGTCTCACAGGCAGAAGTCTTTCCCATCACCTGCTACCTGGCCTTTTAAACTGGAGGTGCCAGAAATTGTACCAGAGACATCTGCGTGGCTTCTCCCCCATGATTACATTATGCCGATGAAAAGTTTGCGACAAGAAATGAATTTGCAGGAGATGCCTATTACTGAGAAAGGAAGTTTTGGCACATGGTTGCCATTTTCAGGAGCAACCCACAATAGGCACCATGACTGGCTAGGTTAATGGACTTGGGGTGGTGGTGTTGCTTTAATGTAGTTCCTTTGCTATGTATTTTTGTTATGAATAGTTGAATATTTATAACTGCCGTTATTCGTGTTATTTTGCTCTTGACTTTTATTTGTCTGGGAACTGCCTTGATATTTCCTTTTGGAAACGAATGGTGGTAGAAATTCTTTTAATTTCTGGTCCTGAATGGGGTTACTGTGCCCCTGAAGGACCAGGTGCGCAGCCTGGGAGTCATTTTGGACTCACAGCTGTCCATGGAGGCTCAGGTCAATTCTGTATCCAGGGCAGCTGTCTACCAACTCCACCTGGTACGCAGGCTGAGACCCTACCTGCCAGAGTGGTCTCGCCAGAGTGGTGCATGCTCTAGTTATCTCCCGCTTGGACTACTGCAATGCGCTCTACGTAGGGCTACCTTTGAAGGTGACTCGGAAACTACAACTAATCCAGAATGCGGCAGCTAGACTGGTGACTGGGGGCGGCTGCTGAGACCACATAACACCAGTCTTGAAAGACCTACATTGGCTCCCAGTACGTTTCCAAGCACAATTCAAAGTGCTGGTGTTGACCTTTAAAGCCCTAAACGGCCTCGGCCCAGTATACCTGAAGGAGCGTCTCCACCCTCATCGTTCTGCCCGGACACTGAGGTCCAGTGCCGAGGGCCTTCTGGTGGTTCCCTTATTGCGAGAAGCAAAGCTACAAGGAACCAGGCAGAGGGCCTTCTCGTAGTGGCACCTGCCCTGTGGAACGCCCTCCCATTAGATGTCAAAGCGATAAACAACTACCTGACATTCAGAAGACATCTTAAGGCAGCCCTGTTCCGGGAAGTTTTTAATGTGTGATTTTAGTGTATTTTTGGTTTCTATGGAAGCTGCCCAGAGTGGCTGGGGAAACCCAGCCAGATGGGCAGGGTACAAATAATAAATTATTATTATTATTATTATTATTAATAATAATAATAAAAATAATGATGATGGTACTCAACCTGGTGCTGAATGGGTTTGCAACCCTCCGGTCCAGGGGTGCTTACTGATCTAACTTGGTCATTGGAGACGCAGACTGGAGGACGGCTTCGGCTTATGCACCAGCTGTAGTTCAACCTGGACAGAGATAATCTGCCAGCAATGATCCATACCATGGGAACCTCCGGATTAGACTACTGAAATTTGCTATATGTGGGTTTTGTTTGAAGAAAGTGCAGTTAGTCCCAAGTATAACTGAAATGCTATTATACGGGACTGGGCATTTTGCCTGTATTTTGTCAACTGCAAGTGGCTCCAAGCCATTTTCAATCTAAACCTGTCATGGCCTGAGACCAGGACATCGGAAGGATTACTTGTCTCCTCATGAGCCTGCTCATACACTTAGGTCTTGCTTTGATATATCATTTTGGCCCCAGACTTATTTCCTTTGGAGATTGCTTTTGCTAATGTGTTGCATTTTTATTCTTATTTCCAATCACTGTTTTTATATTGCTCCTTTATAAGGTGGTGGTCTATTGGTTTCCTTCCTTCCTTCCTTCCTTCCTTCCTTCCTTCAATTTGCCTTACTGTTGTTTTAGTTTCATTTTAACATGACTACTTCCAGCCATCTACTACTAACGCCTCCTATCACTTAGAGAGATGCATCACTTCCCAAAAGAATCAGCACATGTCAGGAATGGCTTGGGAACAGTCATGGTGGAAAATCAACCACACTGAGGTCTTTGTAAAGTGATCCTCATTCTGTAGGATTGTAAGGGAAGAAGTTGGGACAATCGAAAGGCAGATTCCATAAAGATCATTAGAGGTTCTGAAGGCTTTTGAAGTGCTGGCTTCTAATTTGTTAAATCCATGAAAAGTTGTAATTGTTTAACACAGGATAAGTTTGTTGGCGTTCCCTTGAAAGAAATGCTTTCGCTGCCTTGCATGGCCACAAGAAGATTCTTCCTTTGTTTCTCATCACTGGCTCCCACTACTTCTCCCACTTCACCACCCAGTAAGTAAAATTTACAATAAAAGCAGGAATGGCTGCCTGCTGGGAAGGGTAGTTTAAGGATTAGGATAGCTGGGTGGGTAAGATGGAACCCACTTATGCTGGCCCTGCAGTATTACTATTCTGTGGTACACAAGCTGACGTTCGGTACAGAACACTAATAATCAACTTTTAGTACCTCTTTCTGCCCAGCAGAGTTACTTACCGTCTGTTGCAGCTTTGTTAGCTCCCTTGACAATCCTAAAATATTCACTGATGAACCATACCCTTCCATGCTAAATAAATAAATAAATAAATGTGTCCTTTCCAGCTGCCTAAATGCAATTGGGTTTTAAGGTCACCATTGTTTTCAGATTTCATATTTATTCTGAAGTTAAATCTTCAGTCTAGGTTTTTCATTGCCTCCTTCCTTCATTGTTTATTTCTTTGGCATTGATTTGGGCATCTCCAGTAATGCATAAAAATAACAACTTATTATCAGGTTCTTCTTCAGACCTAAGCATAATTATGAAGGTGAAGCTGTTTCTTTAAAACTATTATTCATAATAACAGCTGCTAGTTACTGCTGAAAGACTGGCTGTTGTCCTTAACTATTGTGCTCAAGCCAACAGAAAATGTCATTATACAATTCAGTATTTGTTGTGTTTTGGTTTAGTTGCATGCACTTCACAAAGTACTGAAACAAGGAAATGAAGGCCTTGTTATGAATTTATTTTATTACTTTATTTATACAAACAGTTCTATATTAGGAAATCAAGAAAAATATCTTCTCAAAGCAGTGTACATAAAAACATCGTGAAAATGATGAAATCAAAAGTAAAAAAGCATAAAAGGCAAAGTGAAGAAGAACACAAAACTGGGACATATGGCAAAGTTGTTGTTGTTTAGTCGTTTAGTCGTGTCCGACTCTTCGTGATCCCCTGGACCAGAGCACACCAGGCACTCCCGTCTTCCACTGCCTCCCGCAGTTTGGTCAAACTCATGCTGGTTGCTTCGAGAACACTGTCCAACCATCTCATCCTCTGTTGTCCCCTTCTCCTTGCATAAATAAATAAATAAATACTATTTATTTAGGAGCTTTTATGCTCTGCAAATAACTGAAGTTATCAAAGCAGCTTACGATATATTTAAAAGATAAAAATGAATAAATGATACAGTAGTCGCTACAGTAGGGTACGGATCTAAGTGTCCTTGCCCTTGTCTTCTGCAGCTGAGTCTCTTGGCCTAGAAAGGTCTCCCTCCTTTCAAGTAGTCTAAAACTAAACACAGAAAACACCTGACTAAGTCAATGAATTTCCACCATATAGATCCTTGTTGTGCTACATGCCCCATTTCCTGCAGCTGCCCAAGTGATGCCATGAGTTAGCACTGTTCCTCCAGCAGATCTCAGAGAACAGGCAGGAATGTATGGAAAATGTATGTAGATTAAAAAGGTTCACTGAATGTATGTGCCCTGATCGCGCTCACGACCAGGTTGTTGAGCAGATAAAATGGGGAGCTGACACTATACGCAGCACCTTGGAAGAATGACAGGATAAAAAGTTGATAGGTCGATAAATAAATAAATGAAGAGTTGCTCATACTGAGGAGTGGTTTCATTCATACAGATCCCTGACCACTGGTATTTAACTATGTACACAGAACACAATCAGGACAGGTTATGGATCCATCCAGTCCTGGATCCAGCAGTAAATTCTTCTTTTCTTAAACTCAGCATGAAAGAGGAGAGCAGGTGCCAATCCCCTTGGAATGCAGTAATTATCTTCAGTCTAGTGAGCCATAATTACTGTATTCCCTGGGGAGCAGAACAGCCAAACCTGATTATAGCCAAATAAAACCTGTCTAAGTAGAGTCATGATTTCCTTTTTCAATCTGTGGAAGTCCACTAAACCTCAGCTGCAGCTGTTTCCATCTTTTACTCCTTTCCATTATGAATGTAGCTGCCTTGTAAGTAGATATCACTGTTATGTTCTTAAAGATGTGGTTAACCGCAGTGGGATTCTTCTCGGTGAAGGAATGATGAATGCTTGCTTCAAATGTGATATTGAATGTATTTGTTTGAAGATGAACATCTGTTTCATTTCATACTCCTTTCCCCCTACACATCATATATTATGTTTATTAGATGCATGCTTGCCAAGAAACCTATTTATAATCTAAACAGACAGCACTAGCACTAATTTCAATTTTGTTTAGGTTTTGTTAAGGTATCAGAACTGCATGTAATTTAAGGGTTTCAAGTCATTATGATTTTTCAGTAATCTGTTTAATGACTGAGCTTTAATCAATAAGAATTTGTAACATTTTACTAATTTATTATCATGGGGCAGTTACTTTTATTTCAATAAGAGATCATCCATTGTAGATATAGTTTAGCAAACAAGTGGGACTCCAGTGGCAGGCCAATGGCCCCCGGATTTGATTTAAAATACCTCACAATCACCCGGGTGGCGCTGTGGGTAAAGGTCGAAAGGTCGGCGGTTCGAATCCCCGCAGCGGCGTGCGCTTCCGTCGCTCGGTCCCAGCGCCTGCCAACCTAGCAGTTCGAAGGCACCCCCGGGAGCAAGTAGATAAATAGGGACCGCTTACTAACGGGAAGGTAAACGGCATTCCGTGTGCTGCGCTGGCTCGCCAGATGCAGCTTGTCACATTGGCCACGTGACCCGGAAGTGTCTGTGGACAGCGCTGGCTCCCGGCCTCTAGAGTGAGATGAGCGCACAACCCTAGAGTCCGTCAAGACTGGCCCGTACGGGCAGGGGTACCTTTACCTTTTTTACCTCACAATTGCTTGGTTGTACAAAATATCTACTTAAAAGCTGGTCAGTAATAAGTGGTTGTGATGGCAAATTAGAGCAAATGGACAAATCCATTTGTTGACTGACCAGAGGACATCCCAGAACTCTCAGCAAAGTGTGGCTGTTTTCATGTGGGCACTTACACAGAACTTTCAAGCATGGCCTGACCAGATCAGACCAAGTTCCATGTAGTCCAGCATTCTCTTACCACCACTAGCCAACTAAGAAATTTTTGGATGACCACAAGCTGGGCACAAAGGAGAGGGCCTTCCCCTGGTGTTTGTCTCCATTATGTGGTATTCAGAATTATACTGCCACTGTAATTCTTATGTGTAATTCTATAGCTTGCACACCGCATTATGAACCTTGAATAGTCCTATTAAATGTATTTAGTGCTGTGCTAAATTTTCATGATGTTCAATTTGCCTTGTGAAAATTGCCACTTTGAAAGAGCAGAGTTATGTGAAAAAAGACCTACCTCCCACTCTTTTGCACATTTTTGCACACCCATTCTCAGCTATTCTTCCCCTGATCTATTGTTGCTTCAGTACTAAGTGGTTGGGTTTTTTTACTTGAAATTATGTTGTACCGTTACACCGCTTTTCAGCCTGATACTAGGACCTTATACACAATAAAATACACCTTTTAAAATCTCTTTCCATTCTGATGACGTGCATAAACATCTGGCTTTAAAATAAATTGCAGAGTTAAGAGACTCTCTTTAAAGCCCATTACCAGCTGCAATCCTAAACTCGTTTACTAGAGAGTAAGTCTCACTGAACACAATGAAACTTAATCCCATACAATGTTTAGGATTGTGCTGTCATAAATTTTTAAGACCTGTTGCTTGCTGATGCATATTGTGGAAGGACATTCTGGGATGACATTTGTGGACAATGTAACTAGTACTCAGATCAATATGCATCACCACAAATGTATGTTTGGTATTAGAACTGAGTTTTAATTAAGGTGTGGTTAAATGCTGTCTTTGAGATAAAGAAATTGGTTTTTTAAAGTTGTGAGAGGCAAGCCCTTTTGCACCTAATGCTAAGCCAAAGAATGGTCTACTGCAAATGAGGAAACATCTGAACTACTTGAGAGGAGATCATGACCCCTCTGCTGTCCCCACTGGTCCTGCTGTTGCTACACAGCTGTGAGTTAAGCCACAGTTTGGCTCTGCATTACCTCCAAACCCAATGCTTTGTCATTTGTCTCCCCAATGAGTGGTCAGCTGTAGAACAAGCCTTGGCAACTGCTTCTGGCTTGTCTGGAACAAGATAAACCATGAGCCTGGGTTCAGACATAGCACTGACTAAGCCAAAGCACATCTTAGCTCACAGCAGTGCAACAGCAGCAGGAATGGAGAAGGAGCAAACTGGCTGTGATTTTCCCTTTAGAAGCCCACATGTTTACTTGTTCATGCTAAGCCAGGCTTTGGCTTAGTTTTACATGCAAACCAAATTACTGCAATGCTATCTTGGCTTTTTGCATTTTGTATGTAACGCCTGTCACCCAAGTTACTCTGTTTCATAGCTGTGAAGTCCTCACTTTAATATAGAACCTGGCCCATCAGCTACTAACTGGAGGGTGAAGTCCACACACACAAATAATCCCACAGAAGTTGGGCATCTATATGTTTTAGGCTTAGATCCTATATGTTTTCTGCTGTAGCTTGAATGAAAGAATATTAACCCACAGATATACATGGCACATATAAGAACTATGGTAGGCCTTGGTTGTGATTGGTTCCTTAATGTTTTAATAAATTAGATTAATTGATGTTAACCAAACTGCTCAGCTAAAACCGCTGTTCTAAATTGCCAATTTTGTCTTCTTCCAGCAGAGAAAATGCCAGCCTTCGTCTGTGCTGTAAAATCTTCTTGTTATAACACGGAAGCAACTCCAGAGCCACTGATATTGTGAAACATCTGGTAACTGCAAGCTGTGAGCTCCTATGAGATAATCACAGGCCTGGAAAATTAGGAGAACTTCCTCAACTCAGTTGTATTTCATGTTTTGTAATACCCCCGAGTGCGGTTACCTCATAATACAGTAATCACTCTGTTTCTGTGCCGTAAATGAAGCCGCAGATGCTACGCTCGGGTGTAACGACCACCTCTTAACATAAATAAATGATCAAAGTACCATTATTTTGAACCAAACATATATTTCATGTATACATGTTGATAAATATTGTGGCATATGAGCATCCCTGAGTGAGACATTATTTAGGACATTATTTGGGACCTTATTTACGAGATGTGGAGAAGAGTTGATGAAAGCAGAGGGGAAATAAATCAAATGGGTATTGCAATTTCTATACTGTTTAGGAATTATGATTGGTTTTGCCCTTGTAGACATGCAGAACATGCCAGAAGACAGTAAACAAAAATGAAGAAGATACATTTTAAAACTCAGAATGAGAGTCTGGCAAGTAATAACTCATGGTTGTGAGCATAAGCTGCTCTGAAGGCTATGGACTGAGATGGAAGGGCCAGAGCTTGGTGGAAGAGCTTCTGGTTCAAACCTCAGCATCTCCAGGTAGGGTTGAAAGAGACTCCTGCCTGAAAGAGACTCTGCAGGACTCAGCATAAGGCAACTTCCTATGTTCCTAAGGCAGGGTACACACGTAACAACAGTTAATGCAATCTTAATCAATGTGTAGATGTGTTGGTATGTATTGGTTACTCAGGGAACTGCTGCAAATAGTTGTGGGAAATTAGGAGCATATTGCAGCAATCACCCAACATCTGTTCTGCTTTCCTAGTTAACAATGTCTAATTATTGAGACATTCATAACTTTGTGGTTCTCTTCTTAATCTGGTCAGACCAATTTTGCTGATTATGTGCGCCAGAATAAGCTTCATACTGCAACTAATGCTGCAATTAATAACACTGAGTTAAGGACTTTTAAGTTCCTTTAATTTTAATGGCAGCTATTTAAATAGAGCTGCAACAAGTGTTTGGCATCAGAAATGGTGATTTTTGTGATGGAGCAATTTTTCTTGGAACGCTATTTGATTGTGTAAAAATTCACCTTCCAATGAGCCTGTTCAGCAGTATTGCTGGCCACATGCTGGAAAAGCTGTCTGTGGACAAACACTGGCTCCCTTGGCCTGAAAGCAGAGATGAGTGCTACACCCCATAGTCCTTTACCTTTTTACTACAGTCACAAGCAAAAATTCAACAATTGAGGAACTCCTCATTGCTCAAAAACATAACATTAAAATGAACATTGATACTGTCCATAATGCAAAATGAAGCTTGACATTATTCCATATATGATGTGGGAAAAATTGAATTGAAACAGCTTAAAATGGAATTGGATCCTGCCCATTTCCTCCCCCCTGGAATGCTAATCTGCAAAAAATGTTGCAAATGTTAATTGGCATGTGTGCACAGCATCTGGTTGCTTTTGCTTAATAGCAAACAGGTATTTTTATATCATTAATTAGTGACTTTATTTAAATATTGTGTTAGAAAATCAAATCCACAATCAACCAGTGAATTTGCTCTTGTTTAACTCAAAGAGTAAAGACAAGTGAAATTGTGCAAACAGCCCTACTTTATTTTTGTCCTAAAAATTAATTTTTCATCGCTGCATTTTGAAATGGAGAAAAATGTGACATGTTTCAAAGGGCTACTTTATAATTAAGGAAAACATTGGCAAACACACTTACACACACATTTGAGGCTGGGGGTGGGCTCTGTAATGTTCAGCTGTAACAAAACAGTCTGCAAACAAGACCACAAGCCAAGACCATTTTTATCCATAAATATTTCACTTCCAGAGCCAACTATGGGAAATTTATACACAGGGTCTAAGGACTTAAGCAATTGTGAGTATGACACACATGTGAAAAGCAGAATTAGTATTATTATTATTGATGCCTCCCCCACCTCCCAAGTACCCACTCTCCCCAGCTCATTTCAGGTTGATTTGGAAATCAGCTAATCCACATTGGAAAATCGCCCACCTCATCTGCACAGGAACTTCAGTCCTCCCAGTGCCCCGAACCTCTGCTTTCTTCTTTCTTCATACCAGACTGGACTCATGGCAACAGCCAGTGTCCTGGGGCATCATCACCACACATCACAACCTGAGACAAGTGCGCTGGCAAAAATCAGTTAATGTGGCAGCAGCTATGCTAGCTGGCTGCTCAAGACAGAAAAGGGGACAGTTCTTTGACCACTTCATAAAAGCAAGTGGTTTCTTTTAGTTTGGTTTGGGTTTTTTTCAGATTTTTTTTTTTAAGGCTGTAGAAATGAGATGGAATGGAGTTTAGAATGAAAATTGTGAAAGTGGCACAAACTGGAACTGTTTCCCCACCCCTAGCTGGTATCTGCAAGTAGCATAACTTGCCAGCTTTCCCTTAGAATTTAATCACACTGTCACCTAATGTGGCTTCTAAATTGAACCAATAGTGAGTAGAACATATTCTTGGCTTGTTGTGTGCTGTATGTGGAAGCTTCGAATATCCCTATAAACACAAGCTGCTTCTCATTCCTAACCCCCAAAATAAATGAGGCCTTTTGACAGCTCCAGTCAAACACTTGGACAACCTTCATAGGTTATTTGAATGTTTAATGGAACATTTGAAAAGCCTGATTTAGGTGCCAACCCACCTTCACTTCCTCCAAGCCCTTGGGAAGCGGGTAACTATGTAGATATTGAAGGACTTCTATCATTTGCATCTGAGATCATGCGATTTATCTACAAGTTCTACAGTTCCCAGCTACAAATGACTGAATACAGGGTTCCTTGGCTGAGAAAGAACATCATATTCATATGCAGTCAGAGATGGTGGAACTTGAATTTATAATCTCAGATTTAAAATGGAAATGTTGGAGACAGAATGTAAGATCCAGTTTGAGTTGGGGCAGACTTGAAAAGTGCTTTTGGAGGGTTTGGAGGAGCTCCAACTCAAATTGTCAAGAGAAGTTCACATTTTGAGCTCTTCCTATCGTATTCTCATTTAATCCTAAATGTGACATACTAGAAATCCCCTCAAGTTGCATCAGTGCTCTGCAGTGCACAGAATTTTGGATCTGACTGCAAGTTACCCACTTGTATTTTTTTTTTTTTAGAAAATCATTATTAATTTTCACATAGACAAAGATACACAAATTACATATATAAAACAGAAAACGATACAAATGAATAGAAATGATGAAATAAGAAAAGATAAAGAAACAAACATAAACATAAACATAACGATACAAATGAATAGAAATGATGAAATAAGAAAAGATAAAGAAACAAACATAAACAAACATAAACAAATTACACTTACATAACAGATTAAAATGTATAACTTTCAATAATTCTCATTATACTATGCTACTTATATTATCTGTATTCCTTGCACAGATTCATATTATTATTATTTTGTGTGTGTGTGTGTGTGTGTGTGTGTGTGTGTATATATATATATATATATATATATATATATATTCCACTATTACATTTTATGTAATTCTTGGTTACCAGTATCACTCTATTTCTGCAAGTATCTTATTGTTCGTACAGTACGTTTTTAAATATTCATTAAATATTTTCCATTCCCTATAAACTTTCTGGTTTGACACACCTCTAATTTTTCCAGCACATTACCCACTTGTAAAGGTAGACACATCACAATGTACGGGCAATATCTGTGCATCTGGCCATGGTGGTGGGGAGACAGGGATGCTGTTGCAAGGCTGCCTTCAAATCTGTTTCTGCATGTTTAGAGATGTGTGAATGGAAGGGGATGAATCATGCCCCTGAATTTTGGAAGCTGAATTAAGTAGGCAAAATGATCAAACATGTGCAAACTTAATCTATGCTGTTTTATTTGAGCAAATAGTTCCTTGTTGAAGATAGTTCATAGTTAGTGCTTGGTTCTTTGCAGTCGTTGTATTACTCAACCACGGAGAAAATGATTTTTATATTTATTTTTAGAAATCCTAGGTGATTCTTCAGCCTGAGTTAGAAATAAGCTTATGTGTGCTTAAAAGCCTATGACACTCTGGCAGAAAGTGGCAATACCCTGAGGCTCATGGCTTTCTTCAACAATGGGTGTCTTGAAATGTTCACTTCACCAGTCACAAATCCCACACAGGGGTATGACGGTTGGGTTAACTTTTTCTGACACATGAATTACTGTTCTCCATAATGCATGACAAGTGACCCCAAGTCATTTCAATAAGATTCAGGAGCTACCTGAAAGAAAATCAAGAATGGCAAAAGACAATGGCATGTCAGCAGCAGCCTCAAAACCAGACAAATTCCAAATAACTTCAATCTAGCCCTAGACCAAAGTCTATGCATTTCCACAAAAACATAACGCAGATGTGCAATCATCATTTGAGCACATAGAGTTAATCACTATCGATATGTATTTCGGCATTCCCTTGATCTTTGTTGCTCACCATGTGAATTCCATTTACCTTCTTCAATACCTAATGCCAGGAGTACGTCTAGCAGAGCTCCACTGAAACGACCAATTTTGGTGGAATAGAATTTCCACCCATAAAATACTTAGGGTGATGTTTCACCAAGTCATACACAGGATAGAGCCACTGAAATATTTGGGCTTTAATCTAACCAGTCCATTGGTTTCAGTGTGTCTACCCCTGAATATGACTTGGTTGGCTATGCCCCCAAATGATTTATTGGGGGGGGGGGTTATCCAGCCCAAACTGGTACTTTCAGTGGACCTTCACCATGTTTACTGTGTAAAATGGGATACTGGAATAGATAGCAGATTTTTACTATATGCATTTTAATAGAGGCCCCTCCATCATTTTAGTTCCATTATAATTAAATTACTTTAAAACTATATATACATATACATACATATACACATACAGTGCTTTTTTTCTTAAAAAAATGTGTAGGGGTACTTTTATTTCCCTACTCATATTGAAATATTGCCCCTCAATAAAGCCATGTTTAGGGGGTATGTGTACCCCTGCGTCCCCCCAGAGAAAAAAGCACTGTACACACACACACACACACACACACACACAATCTATGGGCAGATCTACACTTGGCGTTTATAATGTTAAAATGCGTTATTAAAATGTGACACCAGAGGGCGATGCAGAGCAGAAAGCCACTGGCAATGGAAAACTGCTATTAAGCACTATAGAACATTATTTTTTTCCAACGTTTAGAAGATCAGTGTAGACCCAGCCTATGTTTTATTTGTGTTTACTTAAATGCTTGTGAACCACCTTGAGTCCCAGTTCTGGGGGAAAGGCAGGATATTTATTAAATAAATATATAAATAAACAAATGTCATTCGTCTGAGCTAGCAGGGCTTTCCTTATGTTCCTGGACAGGTGATAAGAAATGTTAATTGCCAGAGTAGACACTATAGGGCTATGTGGGCCCGCTCACAGTTATTTTAAGCCGGGCTCAGCAAATGTTGCTCTAAAAATAGGTAGAATGTGTGCAAAATACAGGTAGTCAGATCTCTTATACTGATCACAGTGTGGAAGGAAAAAATAGAAGTATCTCACCCGCCTGAAGAAAGTGCTCAACCCTGTATTGCAGAATGCAAGCCCTTTGAAAACTTAATGAATTTTATTTGGATTAATAATATGCTGTCATTGCATGCCTTGCATGCCATTAATAGCTGACAATTTTATTATGTGTTAATTTGATTTGTATGTGCCATTATTTGTGATTTTAACATTTCCCGATTTGTCACTTAAATATTTATGTGAGTAGAAAACACGTGTTAACAACGGCGATGCTACTTTCAAGCGGTAGAGTAACAAGTGTTAAATGATGCCTTACAGATATGCAGATGATTAAGAGATAATTAGAAAGATAATGCAGATTAATTTATGACTTCAGAAAAACAAAGGGTGGAATACAGTGTTGCTCTGTTATGATTGTTCCATCAGGGAACGCATCTTGAGCCCCCAGAGCGTGGGTAGAAGAATCCCAATGTCTACTGGCTTCCAGGTTCAGTTCAAAGTGCTGGTGCTTGCCTTTCAAGCTCTAAATGCTTTAGAAATCTTCGTATTGTTTTTACTCTTTTGTTGATTGCTGCCCGGGGCTCTTTTGAGGGGAAATGTGGGATAAAAATCTAATCAATAAATAAACAACGCAAATGGCTTCATATCCAAGTACTTGACACATGTCTCTTCTCCTACCAAGCTGCCGCATGCTGAGCTCTATGGCTGATCCTCTTCTCGAAATACCACCTCCATCAGGGTTGGCACATCTACATCAAAAGGGCATTTCAGCAGTGCCACCCCAGCTACTGAATGGCTTTCCCAGGGGAAAATGTCTGACCCTGGCTGTTTTTAAGATGTCAGGCAAAAGCCTTTTATTAGCATTTTATCCATCCGGCCATTTAAAAATATTATTCCTATATTCAATGACTGACTGAATGAATCTTTGTTTGCACCAGCCATCGGCCATAGCAATAAATCAACAATACAATATACAAAGAATAGAAATAAAAAGTCAATTATATAAAATACATTTTAGGGTTTTGAAGCAATAGTCAAATAGTGGATCTTATTTTGACTGCCCCACCTAGAAACCTTGCAACCTTTGCTGTCACCTGATCATCTTGATCTGCCAAGAGAAAGGACACTGGGGCAGTGGCTGGGCGACCCGGAATGGACAATAAAAGGGGGAGATAATCTCATTCCTCAAGTTTTTATAAAGAGTGCAAGCCAGAAGGGCATGCGCCACCGATTCGGTACTGCCATCTCCACAGGGACATAAGCGTTTTTTGTGTGGAATATATTCAACATTTTAAGCTCTTTTTATTAATTGTGTTTTTATGGGCTCTTTATTTTATTTGTTGCTTCACTTGTTTTATCTTTTTATAAATCACTTTGACATCACTGATAAAAAGCAATGCCCATTTTAAATAAACAAGTATGTGACTGAGAGGCTATTAGAGCAAAGGCAACATCACAACGTCATTGCTAAAAAACCTTGGGTTACATACAGACAGACAAACTTCGTTTTAGTTGTATGCCGCCTTTTCACAGTTCAAATTATGCTCAAGGCAGCTTACAACATGAAAAGTTGTTGTTGTTGTTGTTGTTGTTTAGTCGTGGCTGCTGTCACCATCTGCAGTGATCATGGAACCCAAGAAAGTAAAATCTCTCACTGCCTCCATTTCTTCCCCTTCTATTTGCCAGGAGGTGATGGGACCAGTGGCCATGATCTTCGTTTTTTTGATGTTGAGCTTCAGACCATATTTTGCGCTCTCCTCTTTCACGCTCATTAAAAGGTTCTTTAATTCCTCCTCACTTTCTGCCATCAAGGTTGTGTCATCTGCATATCTGAGGTTGTTGATATTTCTTCTGGTCTTAATTCTGGCTTGGGATTTATCCAGTCCAGCCTTTCGCATGATACTTAACTATAAAATAACGAAAGAAATCATAAACAGTAATCAAGCATTTAAAAAAATACACAATCAAACTGAACAATTGCCACATATATAGCAAGATGTAAGATAAAGCTACAAAAAAACCAACAACTACAACAGAAACAATTCCCCCAACAACCCCCCCCCCCCAAAGAACACCCCAGCCCCAATAAAATGAGGAAAGGAGAAAAAGGAACCAAAGGGGAGAGGAGAAAGCAAAAAAGGGGTTTTGGAATGTGTTTGCAAAAATTGCTGAAAAGTTACCCACTGCTTCATGTTGGGTATTCCCTCTCTGGGGAGGCCTACCTGGCACCAACACCATTATTCTTTCAAGCAGCCACATTTCTATTCCTCTGACTTTTTAATGTATAATGTTAACACTATGTAATGCATTATATTTTAAAATTGTATTTTACCTGATTTGGTAAATTGCATTGGAAACTTTGCTGAAGTGCAGATGTAGAAATCCTTTAAATATACAATTTAAACCAAACTGTTAAATCAAAGCACCTGGAAACAGGAAGTGGAAATACTGTTTGTTTTCTTGCTTTCAGGCCAGCCTTTCCAAGTGCTCAATCACTAATGAGGATCTGATCTACAACCTGAAGACTAGCTGTCTGACAAAGGAGCCGAGAAAACAAGTAGGTTAAATAGGAGATTCCTTCTGTATGCACCCTCGCATTTATCTTGTGTTAATTCATTATATATTGAAATTAAAAGGGCCAATCTATAGATTGATTGGTTTAATTATAATATTGTATGTCTTGATTCATTTACACCTGGGGTGCTGTGTAAGTTTGGTAATATTTTATGTGTAGGGATCTATCCAATTTGTGGGAGAGATTCTGCCACTGCTTCTATTTTTCAAGTGAATTTTATCAGAATGACTGTTCTTACCTTGCCCAATTATATGTGCATGCTCAAGTGATTATACAAACAAACAAACAAACCTGAAGCTTTTATTCTAGGGATTATGGGGTCAGAAATTCAAAAAAAAAGGTGATTAAGTTGTTTATGCATGTAACAAAAGCAGATAGGATTCTCTGTGCACAAAGATGGAAGAAGAAGTTCCCACTAAAGATAAGTAAGGTCAGGGGTCAGCAAACGTTTTCAGCAGGGGGCCGGTCCACTGTCCCCCAGTCCTTGTGGGGGGCCGGACTATATTTTTGGGGGGAGGGGGGAGAACGAATTTGTATGCCCCACAAATAACCCAGAGATGCATTTTAAATAAAAGCACACATTCTACTCATGTAAAAACACCAGGCAGGCCCCACAAATAACCCAGAAATGCATTTTAAATAAAAGGACACATTCTACCCAGGTAAAAACATGCTGATTCCCGGACAGTCGACGGGCCAGAGTTAGAAGGTGACTCGGCCGGATCTGGCCCACGGGCCTTAGTTTGCCTACCCATGAGTAAGGTGATAGACTATGCGGAATTGGCAAAATTAACAGCCAAAATAAGAGACTCTAATGATGATTGCTTTGTGGGAGAATGGGAGACCCTTTTGCACTATTTAAGGAAATATTACAGTATGATGAATTCACAAGCAGGATTTGAAATAGGAGCAACGGAAGGAATTAGAGAATATTGTTGTTATGGTATAAGAGACAGAAATATGCAGCAGAGGGGGAGAAATAAAAACACCCTGGAAAATGGGGTGGGAAGTAAAAAAAAGTTTTGTTTCCTGCCAGTCTGGAACAAATCTGGTTTACAAATCAGTTCAGCCTGGACATTTGGATTAAGGGCAGTTATATTTCCATTTTCACTTTGTATGGGACGCACAGTAAGTTTACAGGCAGGCAGCAATATGGGATTATTCTCAGTTACTGAGGCAGGGAGCATTGAAGCCAGTGCACTGCAGTGTGTGAGAGCAAGAGAGTGGAGGATATTGATGGATATAGCCTTGTCTGTTTTCATTCCCCCCTCCCTCTGTGCAGGCCAATCAATTCCACACTTAGACAGCCACACTCATTTTGTGGTTTTTGTTTGCTCTGGAGACCAGAAGAGGAGACTGTCATTTCCTTCCTGGTTTGTGTTCATTATGATCTGCCACGAAGGTCCTTCTGTTACATTATTTGCAGGTGGAAAAGGAAATCCACAAGGAGTCTCTCTGGACTGCTCTATCCCATTTGCACAGGCAATCATGTTTTGCATCTTCATTTCTGGGCTGACTTGCCATGATCAATAAAAGAAATCACAAACGCTCACATTAAAATATTTATAAAGGGAAAAACAAAATAGGAGAAGGGGAAAGAGCAAAAGCAGAGATAGCACAGAGCTGACTGCATGCATGCTGGTAATGACCTTCTGTCACTTTATCCTGTATTATGTATTGTAAAATGCTGGCATGAAGGTTGATCTATGATTACAAATAATTTTGAAAAATGGCACAGGAACACTGTTCAGACATTATCCCACATGTAATGTCGACTGCATGAGTGGGAAGATTGGGGGTGCATTATCTGGCTCCCCACACTCTGTTGCATTACCTTAGACACTGGGAACTGGTTGCAAGATTCTTTGGATCCTGGTAATGACATCTAAAGGACCAATAAAGGCCTTCAAACAACACTTTCTATTGAGAGGAGTGGGGAAGTGCCACTTTCCCCCTCTTTAATCTTGATTTGTCACAGTCCTGCCCAGCACACAGAATGCAGCCTTTTTTTTGTTTGTTTTGTTTTTAATTTTTTTTATTCAAAGTTATAACAAAACATATTTTCCAAAAATATATCCTTATTCCCCCCCATTTTTCCTCCCCCCTCCCCCCACAAAACCCACCCCCACCCCACCCCCCAACTTCCCTCAGTTCCAGTCTTTGGTTTCTCCAATAATGCTGTTTTCTGCATGTTACAGAGTTGTATAGATCCTCCAACTGTTTAGCTAATTATTATCAGTAAAAAATTGTGGATGTTTATTCAAAACCTGCCAAGGAGTCCAGTTCACTTTGTTGCGTCTTCAAATACTTTGTGAGAATGCAGCCTTATAGCAGGTAGGGCTGCTTGCCCGTCTTTTTTTATATAAATTTATTCATTTGGTTTTCCAGATTAAAGTTTTACAATCACATATCCCTCCTCCCCTTTGTGGGTCCTATTGTTAATCATTTCCTCCTGCATCTTTTATGATAACCCAGATCTGTTACGTCTCCATTATGTCCAAGATTCACCATTAAACTACAAGTGTTATTCCAATCCTACTAATGATTTTAGCTGTTTACATTGGTTTTTAAGGTAAATTATATATTTTCCCCATTCCTTATTAAAATTTTGGTCTTCCTGATTTCTGATTCTTCTCGTCATTTTAGCCATTTCGGCATAGTCCACCAGCTTAATTTGCCGGGCTGCTTGCCCATCTAACCCACGATTGCTTACTACATTACGCACAAGACCTTCAGGGACTCCGAGGAGGTCATTCATGTCACCTCCTACCTATTCCCTTTAACTGTTGCTGCTTTGGAATGAATCAGTGTCCTTCTGCATGCAAACCATGCGCTCTATCACTGAGCTATGTTCCTTTGCCACTTGCCAGTATTGCTCAGTAGTCTTCATCTTAGTAAGACTATATCCACACACTACTTTCATGCTCTATCCGGTCCTCCCATGAATCAGTTCTACAGATACATGCCCTGATGGTATTTATTTTACACAATCCCATAGCAGCTAAATCTGCTCCTGGAGCACATTACCTTCTATTGGATAGTGGCCAGCGTCTGTCCTTCCTTCCTTCCTTCCTTCCTTCCTTCCTTCCTTCTCTCCCTCCTTCCTTCCTTCCTTCCTTTCACATTCCTTATTGGGAGAGGACACACTTAGACAGTTGAACTGTCAATGCTCTAAAACTATTGATAATCTCCACAAGTGATTTATTTTTTGCTGTCAGTTTTGATTATGACAGTTATCTTTTAGTCAAACAGGGCCTTTCTGTAAAATATCTTTTAAGCTTCGTTGAATTACCATTCTTTGAAAAAAAGTGCTAAACCCCTAGCCATTATCACAAGGTTTCAGAAACATTCTGTCAGTAAGTAGCGGGAGATTATATTAATTTACTGGCTGTAAGGCTTTTGATATAATGATTTCTCTAACAGTTTGCAACTTAATAAAGTACGACAAGGCAAAGCTGGAAAAAATGTCCTTCATCAAAAACCACTGCCACAAAGCTTGGCTAGCAACAAAACTATTACTCATTAACACAAAATGTGGAGGATGGAGTATTCCAAATCTAGAGTTACATTATAACACAAACTAAATTGCCCATGCAATTCCACTTCTTGTGGAAAATGAGGATAAACCATAGACCAGACCTGAAATAATAGATGGTCTAACATTACATAGTCTTTGGTTCTTTGAAAACAAATATAGATCCTGTCCCAATGTCAAAACAGATTTTTATTTATGACTTCCAAATGCTGGACACGAAAGCCACCTTGCTTAGCTCCTGGACTATCTCCACACTTTCCCTTGGTATACTATTCAACATTCAATAAACGCCATAGCTACGATATCAGGGGATGGAGTGTCAAAGGTATAAAACTTCTCTGTAATCCTTATGTAAATAGAACCCCAATCTCTAAAGAGCAACTAAGAGACCAAAGAGGAAACCAGACCCTCCCATGGAGACTCTACCACCAACTCCAGAACTTAACAAACAGCAAATCTTTCTCAGAGAGTAATATTTGACACTTAACCTTTTTCGAAACATTACTTAAAAAACAGAATACTAAATCAAGAGGCTTATTTTCATCTTTGCACAAATTTCTTTTGGATGCAAAATTTAACAACTTAAATGGCACCAGGATGATGTGGGGAAATTGGCTGCACTATTGATGCTGGTGCTTGGATCAAACAATGGCATCAGCCCCACTTTCAAATCCATCTTAGTGAGGAGCAGAGAATTAACACTAAAAATAATTCATAGGTGGTACTTAACCCCTCATAGATTAGCACACATGTCTCCCTCTGCCTCGCTGAGATGCTGGCATGGTACATATCTGGTGGCCCTGTGCCACAAATTCTAGATCTTAGACTTTAAAGAACTAAGAACTCCCCACTTGCCGCAACTGAATATGTATGAAAAGCGATAGTATGGCAGGGCTATCGTGGGCAAACACTGGAAATACTTTGCAGTGGCACGCTTCACACACCAGCCTGGTCTACCCCATGGCCCTTGCCACCCCCACTCCCCTTAGGCCCATTCCAAGGTTCCAACTTCCTTTTAGATCTCGCCAAACTCCCCACCCCTCATACCTTGGCAACCCCTATTCCCTTTTAAACCTCACCAAAACCCCACCTGCACTCCCCTTGGAACTCATTGAACCTCTACCCATCCCCTTATACCTGGCCAACCACCTCACTACCTTAAGACTTGCCAACCCCTTCTCTCCTCAGACCTTGCCAAACACCCCATCCCCTGTAGAACTTGCCACACAATAACAAAAAACCCCTCAGCCTCTCTGTAGAGTGGGCAGTGGCCAGAGTTGGTCCATATGTGCCAGTACATGAGACGTTTGTTCGTTCTTTGCCCACCTCAAACATATAGTCAATCAGTATAGGGAGCAGGCCAGGAATGGGGGTAAAGTGAAACCTAGGGATTTGGGGGGTGTTGATGCTTTGAGCCCATTTGCTGCTTCTGAGGTACATCCTGCATGCTGCTGGCTCATGTTCGCTGCCTGGGATGTGTTAGTATCAGCTGTGGATCCACAGGCTGGCTGGCCACCGCTTCTGCCCACATGCCTCATCTGTGCACTGCCCTTCCTGCATCCTGACAGCCATCTGATTAGCAGCAGCAGCAGTATATCTCCAGGCCAGTTGGGGAGAAGGAAGGCAGCAGTGCCAGCCAGGCTGGGAATCCAGCCTTCTTTCCCATAACCAGGCCTTCCTTTAACCTCGCCAGTCATTTTGTGCATGATGGTAGACCAGACAGAATTTTAGAATAGAGAGAAAGCAGAATGAAAAAACGGCAGGGCAGGAAAGGGAAGGGGAAACCAAGAAGCAGCAGCTGCACTGTTCCCCACAAACTGACCTAAAAAGGTGAACTTTGAACTTACTATCCCCCAAAAAAGAACACAAGAAGAAGGCTGCTGTATCAGTCCAAAGGTCCAGAATCCTTCAGCATTCTGTTTCCAAGTGGCCAGCTAGATAACTCCAGGAAGTTCAAAATCACGGCATGAAGACAATGACCTTTAGGTGTATAGCATTCCTCTAAATGTGGAGGGACCATCTTGTAATCATGCCTTATAGCTGTTTGTAGGCCTGTCCATTAATGTGACTAATCTCTCCCCCCGCCTTTAATATAAATAGTCACCATGTTTTGTGGTCGTCAATTCCATAAATTACAGAATTGGCCCAAATATAAGCTGTACCAGCAAATAAGCCACTCCTTTAAAATTTGAGGCTTATTTGCGAGTGCGGCCTGCCTCCCGGCACTACCGCCCTGAATGGGGGGTGGCCGGCACCGGTGCTTGGCACCCTGCTCCCCAAGCCAGCGCCAGCACTCAGTTCCAAGCGTGCTACGTGCCCGCCTCCTGGCAATATTGCCTCCCGGCGCTACCTGCCCAAGCCGGCGCCGACTGCCCCCATCCCCCTTTCAGGGCGGTAGTGCCAGGAGGTGGGTGTGCAGGGATCAGTCCCAAATACAAGCTGCACTTTAACTTTTCACAGTCAGAATTTGGAAGAAAAAAAAAGGTGGCTTATATTTGGGCCAATATGGTAATTGCATGTTGTATGAAGAAGTGCATTTTTTCCTTTTGCTTCTTCTTTTTATTCTAGAATCTCCTGACAGAATGAGTATCAATTCAAAAATTCATAGTATGATTACTCTTTTATGCAAACATCTACAGATTGCGTGATACACACTAAGCCAACTTCAAGTTTCAGAAAGACAGCGGAAAAGGCCTTGCTCTTTCATTCAGTGCACATTTTACTGATGGGTTTCAAAGCTCTGGACTGTTCTTGAGGAAGTGTGTTGAAGGACCGAGTCTTATGTTTCTGATTTGAAAACGCAAAGTGGTATATTTGTCAATTTTAGAATAACAAAACTGCCATGCACAGTGTCACAATACAATTTTCCATTTCTTCACTTGACCCTATTAACTTTTGCTGCCAGGGCAGTAAATTCAATTTTCCCAGCAGTGTATTTGGTTAAAATTCTGTTGTTTTAAATGAAATGAAGATTGTGTTTTCATCTTTGCTTGTCTTGCTCCAATTACTGTATTATTTTAGGCTTTGTGGACGAGACTATACCACCCTACCTAAAATTTGTTCAATGTCACTTGAAACGTCATTAATTCTTACTCTCCCATTCTTCTAATTAAGGAGCTGGGATTACAGCACCATGTCCCTCAGGAGGCTAATGCTTTTGCATGTGACAATTTATGCTTCGGGAAATAAAACAAGGTAGGCGGTCAAATGAGTGCAATTCCTACCTTGATTGTGAAATTGCTTTGAGAAAGCATTATGCCCTTGGTTGTCTTTGATGGATTATCCATTCAGTATTCAGGGCTTCGTTCATCTATTATTGACCAAGAAAAGGATGAGCTACAGATGGCCCAGGTTTTTACAGCGCTAAGGAGAAATGTAACAGTTTATTTGCTTTTGTGTATGCAAGCAGTTATTCTTCACAAGTACAGGCATAAAATAACTTGGGGGGGGCATCAGCATCATGTTCCCTCTTTATACTATCAGGATCAGGCAGCAAAATGTTGAACACTTGATTTTTATATATCAGAACCTTAGAGATAGGAAACACAATTTGGAAATGACCTCTCTGTCAAATAACTATGTATGTAGTTATTCAGAAATATACTCCATCTTTTCCCATGAGTTCCAAACTACGGATTTGAGACTATCTGCCTGAGAAACGTTGGTGATCCTATTACAACTGTTTAATGTTTTCAATCATTTGAGGGAGGCTCCAAATTTGCTTCAAATGTCACTTTTGGTGGAATTCATCATATACAGTGGTGCCCCGCAAGACGAAAAACTCGCTAGATGAAAGGGTTTTGCATTTTTTGAGCTGCTTCGCAAGACGAATTTCCCTATGGGCTTGCTTCGCAAGATGAAAACGTCTTGCAAGTTTGTTTCCTTTTTCATAAAACCGTTAATACCCAGGGTGCATTGCTTGAAGAGGTGCAGTTGCGACTTGACTTCGAGGAGCAACTCATAGCACGCGGTGTGGTAGCCTTTTTTGAGGTTTTTGAAGACTTTGGTGATTTTTGAAGCTTTTCCAAAACTTCTTTTGCAGCCATTTGGTAAGTTAAACTTTTAAAACTTTTTGGGGGTTTTTGGATTTTGGGTTGGTGTGTTTGGAATTCAAGGACTTGGTGTTGGGGAGGGATTTGCAAGAATCTGGAAGCTTGTGTGTTTTTTTCCTGCATTTCTATGATTTTTTGTGACCATTGGGCCATACTGCTGTTTTTTTAAAAAAAAATTCTGGGTTTGAATTTCTGTGTGGTGGGTGGCTGGGGGAACAGTTGAGGAGGGGTTTGCAAGAATCTGGAAGCTTGTGTGGTTTTTTTCTGAATTTCTATGATTTTCTGTGACCATTGGGCCACTCTGCTGTTTTTTAAAAAAAATTCTGGATTTGAATTTCTGTGTGCTGGGTGACTGGGGGAACAGTTGGGGAGGGGTTTGCAAGAATCTGGAAGCTTGTGTGGTTTTTTTCTGAATTTTTATGATTTTTTTGTGACCATTGGGCCACTCTGCTGTTTTTTTAAAAAAAAAATTCTGGATTTGAATTTCTGTGTGGTGGGTGGCTGCGGGAACAGTTGAGGAGGGTTTTTAAATGTTTTTCTGTCATGTTTAGAAACTTAATTTATTGTTCCTTCAATTTTTGAAATGCTCTTTACAGTATGTGTGACTTTAAAGAGCACTTAATAAACTCTTGTTGTACCAAATTTGGCTTTGTTTGGACTTTTTTTGACCCTAGGAACACATTAATTGAATTTCAATGCATTCCTATGGGATTTCGTGCTTCGCAAGACGAAAGATTCGCTAGACGAAAAAACTCGTGGAACGAATTAATTTCGTCTTGCAAGGCATCACTGTATTTCTCCTCTAAACTTGCTTAAAATTCTGATTTCAACTCAAGCAACTAGCTTTAACATTTCATGGTGGTGGTTTTGTTTGGTTATCCCTGTTGTGATCATGGTTATTGTTATTCTTCTGCTAAGTACACGCACTAAAGGAGAAAGGCATAGAGGTGAAGATGCATAGCGCTCACCTGGTGGTCCTCTGCAACAGGGAGACAGCAGAGGAGATAGAGAAGCAAGAAATATGGGAATCTAGCAGGGTTTGGGGAGTACTGGAACAAACACAAGAAAATCCAAAGAGCAGCCAGACGAGTCTATATTCTCCAACATGCTGCTTTGCAAGACCTGTTTGCTGTCTTTCCTTTAGTTCTTTTCTCTCTTTTTTTACTCAAGTCTTTGTTCAAACCTTGCTAAATATCTTGACTGCCGTTCTTTAGTTAACAAAGGGCTATTTCATGTAGCTCTTCACTGGCACAGTAGGGTGTTATTAACTCTCACCAACAACCCAGTTCTTTTGAGGTTTCTGCTGTTATCAGACCCCGTATACTTAAGTGGAATTTGTTTCTTGCCAGTGTTTGGAGGATTGGGCTGCCTCTGAGAACAAGAATTCTGATGGTGAGGAAGGTAAAGCAGATAATAAGGGAGCCTACTGTGATCCATGCACTGCTGTGAGCGACTACAATGAAGTAAGCTTGATCCTGTGTTAACCCCAGTGCCTGAATCCATGTCTGTTTTCTAAAGCTCTTATTTCCCACCTTGCAGCCAGAACCCTGATGCCAGTTCACCTGAGTGACGATAACAAAACAGACTTTTCAAAACAAGAGCCCCCAGTGTGGTGAATGCAAGGATGCAGCTAGCCATAAATGTTCACAGAAGGAAGGAACACCTGTTTGCAAACAGGCCTTATGAAAATACACTAGAAGATTTAATGACTGCAAAGACAAGAATTAAATTAGATTGCATATAATATATCATGCTAAAAAGCTTCACAAGTTACTTTTCTAGCTTGGTGAATATAAGCACTTTTAAAATTTGTCCAAGGAGCAAGTTCAGGACAAATTAAAGTAAAACTAACACCTGACTTTTAATCTAAGGTAGGTAGCGGTAGGTGGTGATGATGATGCTTGCAGAATGACTTGAGGATTTTAAAGAAAAGAAAGGGTATTCAGGATTTAAATATATAAGAATCATATAAGAATCATGCAAAAATACTAAGAATCATGCAAAAATACTAAAATGAGGGATAATGCAAAGCAGTAAGCAATGGAAACCATGTTGGAGAGTTAGGAAAGAGTAGATGCACATCACTGTTTGAGCTCTGGGTTGAGCTGTTAAGGTCCTAAAGATGGAGAGAAAACTGAGACTTAGGAAAGAAATGAGTAGCATTCTGAGAAAATGGGAAATGAATGAAGACAGAGGTGCTGGTCCAGAGAAATGTAGAAAAGGAAAGTCTGAGGGAAAGAACTGCGAAAGAAGAGGTGAACAGGCCCAGGGGCTACAAAGTTGAAGAAGCCTCAAGTTTGCATATTGATTCAAAATGTTAGGTGATGAGGCACAATCAAATCTGGTCAAGGCCCACATACCAAATTTGGAGGAGGGGAATTTTTAGCTTTTTAAGAGATGCTGAGTATTCCCAGTCATGAGGCTGAAAAAGTCAAAGCAGCTTCTAATCTCTGATGCTTTCCTCGTAATGTGTTTGTGTGTGGGGATAAAGACCTGTCTTTGAGGTATTTATTTCTAAATTTGTATGCTGCCTTTCATTACATACTCCAGGGTTTACTGACTTCTATAGCTACTAGCTTTGCATGCACAGATCACTATAGGCCAGTATGATGTGGTAGCAGAGTCCTCACAAACATGTACCAACTGCTTTAGCTGATGAATAGCCCAAGCCAGCTCACCCATTCTTGAGTTTATGATCTTCTGTGGCAATTAGACTTGGCAGTGAATGGACTGGCAGTATGTATCTTGAATATCAATGTCAAAGATAAACATATGAAGTTGCCTTATATTGAGTTGATCTCTGAGTGCTTCTTCCTGATATCACACTAACCAGGGACTGCATTCTAAGCATGTAATCTGCCTCTGAACTCTGGCCCTTCCCTATCCTCAGGGGGATAAGCAAGAGCAGAAGGTCTATCACTGTCATGTGCTGCTGGTGAACTACCAGAGCATGGGCCTGGTCACTGCTGTGTTCAGATTTGAAAACAGAATGCTGGACTAGATGGACTTTGGTCATATCCAGTAAAGCAATTCATGGGTTCTTGTGTTTCTCAGCACCTCCTGTGTTGGTGCTGCTTTTGTTTGTACCTGTGGCAGATGTCTGGTGGAGCTTACAAATGCAATTCTGACCTCGGCAGTTAATCTGATTCTCAGGCAGTGCACGATCAGACTGATGCAAGCAGACAGCACTTAAGCCCAGGTGTCATCACTGAGCATACCTCTTGACACAAAATGCAACTTGACAGGTCTTATTGTTCAGCTTCCCTTTCTCATGTGGTTCTTTTTTTGCTAAACTGGAAATGTTGAGGGACAAACTATTTGATTAGGACATATGAAAGTCCACAGTAGCAAGTGGCCCCTATTGCTACCCTTTGGTGCATTTAATGCACGCTTGAACTTCATGGGTGCTCAGCAGAGATATTTGTTTGCCTCATTGGCTGTTGTCCCCCTTCTCTTTCCCATTACATTTCTGTTTTGGACTGTTGCAAGCTTCATAGCAAAATAAGGAAGATGGTGCAAATTTTGCAACTTTTTCTGTAGTGGTACCACAATGGGCAGCTGTCCTCAGAGAAGTCCATCATTCAACATATTTGTTTATCTTAGTTAAAATTCACAAGGCATTTCAGGATGTCTGAGGGATAACATGACTTTGGTGAAGTTACTTTTCTTGATTTTTCTTTCTGGATTTGTATGTGGTCTTGCTTTTGTTTTATTTTGATAGCTAGCAAAATATTGGTCATTCCAGCAGGCATATGGCATGTGGAGGTGTGGGTATATATATATAGCAAAATTGGGTTTAAGGTATAGTGGCCTGCGTAAAGCCACCTAGTGAATTCGTGGCAGAGGTGTGGTGTACAGGTTTAAGTGTCAGATTTGGACCATGAAGATGCAGGTTCCATTTCCAAAGTTATAAATTGACTATCTTTTAGCCTAATTTAAATGATTAGCATGGTGAGGTTGAAATGGGGGAGACCCACATACACTACTTGGAGTTTCTTGGAGAAAACTGTGGTATATAAATGTAATAAGTATAAATGAAAAATACAAATAAGGTGTGTGTGTATAGGTTTGTGGGGGGGTTGTGTGTGTGTGTGTAGCTTTACGTTTGTTTGGACTTTGCTGCTCATCTATCAAAATCTCTGGCATAATTAAGGGGTTCTGATGAGCAGAAAGGCTTTGTCCCTTTGGCCTATAAACTTTTCACACACATCCTACAAGATGAGAGCAAAGTAACAAAAAACCTACCAGAGTTCAACTTGGACACAAAATGCTCCCAGCACTATAAAATATATTGATAGCTATTAAAATAAAGTTACATTAGGTTTTCTTTTGGGGAAAAACAACAACATGTATGGCTCAGCAAGCTTTCATATCTTGACTGCAACATTGGAGGACCCATCATTAAAATAACTAGAGATTATCTGGTCAGCTGTATACTAAATTGCAAAACCAAATTGACAAAAGTAATATAATAGATTCAATATTGCAACAGTGGGGAATAAGGAAAACAAGAGTGAAATGGACCATAGAGTGCAACTTCTCATTTGCACAATCAAACAAATGTATTCTTTCATTTAGTTTGCCACAAGAGACTTCATTAAGAGTTTCTTTTGTGTTCTAAAACAACCTCATAAAAGAAGCCTGAATGAATTAAATTATGCTAGCAGCCAGAGAATTTTGTCATATGGTACTACATAACACAGCAATGATAGGATTAGTCATAGCAAAAACACAGAGGCTGGTGCTACTGAATATTGTTTCGATTTGCAAAGATGAAACTTTATTCTAAGTTGATGATTATGCTTTGTGATTTACAAATGAGGCTTAGTGGTTTTTTTACATATATTTTACATATATACCTTCTGTTTTTTTGCTGTTTGTTTGGGACTGTGGAAGTGAACCATAGCTTATTAACAGGCTAATCCATGCAGGGACAGCTTGCAGGTCGTTCATTGGAACCAGGGAAAGGAGATACAGCTCAAAGCCAGTTCCCATTGTTTGGGGAATAGTATTGGGATTTCATTCATCCCTGTGTTACATATAGAAGGCCATATATTATACACAGCAAATTTATGTGCTACTCCCATTCAATCAGCAGCCTTATAAAGATTACAATTTTCTAATCTATTCAAGCTGTTACCACAGCATAGACGTCCATGGTCAGGCTCCAGTTTTCATTGCAGAAACTATTTTGTGTACCCTAGTAAGGTCAGTCAATAGCAGCAAAGTGGAATGGAGGCAGAATCATATTTTATTAGGCTATATTGTCATACTATGCAATCAATACAATTTATTGCAATACATCTTCAAAACTGGTGTTTCATAAACACTGGTTATTATTTCACCAACAGATTTACCGTATTTTTCGCCCTATAGGACACACTTTTCCCCCTCCAAAAATGAAGGGGAAATCTGTGTGCGTCCTATGGGGCGAATGCAGGCTTTCGCTGAAGCTTGGAGAGCGAGAGGGGTCAGTGCGCTTCAGGAAGCTATCAGCAAGCCTGGGGAGCCTGCGGGAGTTCCCGCAGGGCACCCTAGGCTGCAGATAGTAGCCTGCTTCCCGGAGCGCAGGGCGCGCTGAAAGCAGAGCGCCCCGCACTTCAGGCAGACATCGGGCAGCCCCAGAAGCTCAGGGGACAGCAGGGAGGCGCAGCGCCGCAATCCTGCTGTTCCCCGACCTGATTTGGATTCCCCGACCTGGTTTTGGGGGGGAAATAAAGGAAAAAATTTTTTCCTTTATTTCCCCCCAAAAAAACTAGGTGCGTCCTATAGGCCGGTGTGTCCTATGGGACAAAAAATACGGTAATCATCTGTGAATGGTTTCTGATTTCCATGATTCTGGAAAAAAGAGAGACTCCAAGTGTGTGTGTGTGTGTGTGTGTGTGTTTATATGTGTGTGTATAGATACAGAGGTGGATTTGAAAGAAAAGCTGAGATACTGAATGATGGAAAGATATGGATTCAGATGTATTTCTAAAGAAGGGTTGCAGGGGTCTGCACTGATACAACTGAATTTTCAGAATAATATGACAACTACCAGTAGACAGGTATAAAATCTGGTCTGTCACTAATCATAAGCACACAGACCTGAAGTTTCTAGATGCTATGTGACAAGTTAAAAGCAACTTAACAAAACACAACAGACAGGCGAACATCATAGCATCACCATCATAGGCTCGAAGAGGGAGATGATGAATATTACAGCCCTTTTACATTTTTTTTTAAATTCTCTTCAGCCACATCCTTTGATGAACATATGAGAGAGAATGGGACCATGATGGGGGCAGGGCACAGCTTGCCCATGCCCCCCCTCGGGTATTTACTTAACCTGAATACCTGAAGGTGGCTAAATTTCTTCCAAAATCTATGTACAGTTCACCCTAAAAGCTAAGACATAGTTTTGTAAAATTGAGCTGTAAGTGTTGATATAAGCACTTTTCTCACAAAAAGGTAAATTTGACCCAAGTCATTGTGATGGAATAACAGTATTTTTGGTCATACTTCATAGCCTTTGCTATTGTTGAAGCCATCACTTTCCTTTCACTATCATATAAACAAGATGCAGACTCCATAATTTACTCACAATTACTTCTTTTCCTATCTTTCCCCTGTTGTTGTGAACTCTTCCTTGTTTTTCCTGGCCTGCATCTGAGATGAATCTCTCTGTTAGAAACTCATAAAATATCTGTGAAATGCTTTTCAGACATGAGTCAAAATAGTTTTCATTGCAGTCCTAGTTACGTTTAGACATGACTTAACTTGTTCCAGATGATACTAATATGGTCCTCTGACAGCCAATTCACTTAATTTAAATTAATTCAAATTCAAATTGGTTTACATGTATACAGCATGTGATAATTCTATTGCATTTTTGATGCCTCCCCTGAAACAAACAAAGAAATGGCAGTAAATTTTGAGGCAAATTTTTACATTAGAAACATGAATTCAAATATATACAATTTTCACATCCTCATCAGACTATTAAATGTGTTGCACATGAGTCTTGCTTTTGTTAACTTCACAGGTACTACAGTCTTGTGACAACTTGTGGAGTTTATGCCATTTTTTGTTTTTGTTTAGTCTTAACAAAGACTAAGGTGCTATAATAGACCAATATGACTACCTTTCTGAAAATTCTCAGAAAACTCATTTGGCTTCTAATGGAACAGCTGGATGGAAAAGGTATTTTAAGTGTTTGCATCTGTGGAATGCTCTTCTCAAGGTTAATCTCCTTCATGCTCCTTCATGCTTCATGCTCTGGCACTGGGAGGCGGAGAGCAGATGGGGGCGTGGCTGATGCACGTCCGGGGGGCATGGCATGCCACCTGCGGGGGCGTGGCACCCAGTGCGGGCGGGGGGGCAGCCGCGATGGCGCCCCTCCGGGACCGTGCTGCCGGGGGCGGTGCGCTCCGCCTGCACTGGGTATTTTGTAATTCAGACATTCATATTGACACAAGACTCTCAGAGTTTGCCTAGCTATTGGAGCTTGCTAAGTTATCTGTAAGAAATATGTGTGGCATGGTGCTGTGCCAGAAAAATTCTCCCCATTTTTATTCTTTATTATTCTTTAATTAACAAGAAAACAAACTGCATTTCAATTAGCAAGGAAAGAGAACATTTTGGGGAATTATCATGGGTGGGTGCAGGTTTTGTGGCCCTTGCTGTGCTTTTGAGGCATATTTGTTCATACGAGTGTCAGAGAAATTCATTGAAAACAGACTGTGAGTGGATTGCCTTCTACCATTTGAGCCCATTGTTGCTGTTCAGATCTTGCTGTGAATACTTTTCATCATAGTTCTCTGTATTGAAAGGTTGTTTTTCTTTTAAAAAACCCCAAAGCAAAACTTGCACACATTGTGTGTAAAAATAGATACATAAATTGCTTTGCAATACACATTATTTACACATTCATTGACATTTAATTGCAGCTTTCCTGACCGGTAACTCTTTGCTTTTCTTGTTTCAAGTGTTGTTTGATGCCAGAAGCAGCCTAGATGTGCTAAGACTTCAATCCTAACCATGTGTACTAAGGAAATTCCATTGAATTCAGTGAGATTGACTTCCAGGTGATAGGGGTAAAAGTTTCAGCCACAATCTGCTCCCTATTGTGAATTTTAAAAACCAAGGGGTTGCATTCAAAGCAGCACTAAGGAAATTGGTTCTTCAGTGCAAACATTCCTCCCTGCCTGCTGGAAAAATCTCCCCTCTCTTCTCCCCACCTGCTGTTTGGGTGGTTTTCCCAACACACCAGAACAGATTAGTGGAGGGTCACAATGGAAAGACCGGGAAGTCCCACTGCACAACTATTGAGTTGCCTAGTGGAATACATAACTCTCTCTTTTCCCACATAGAAAGAAAACATGTCTCATGTTATCTGTGGATTTTATCTGTGCTCCTCAGTTAAAGACTGAGGCTATTTGTCAAAGTATGGATTTGACTGCTCAGTTTTGACCACATACCCATCCCTTAAATCCTTGTTTTAAAAGGAAAATTAAGATCTCTTTCCTTTCCTGTCCCTGAAGAATTATTGACGGATGCCTGACTGAGCTGTCAAAATAAATAAAACAAATATTAAATATAGCCACAGACGTTGTAGAAAGCAATGATGTTATGGAGTTTCTCCATCTGGCTGAGATCCCTTGTCCAGATCTTGTCATTTAATATTCATGTGATCATATGTTCAGGCTGCTTTCTGTGACATGCATAGCTGTAAGTAACCACTGGGGGAAGAGTAGCACAGCCTGTGTAATGTGTATAGCAGTGGTGGCTAAACTTGGTCCTCCAGCTGTTTTTGGACTACAACTCCCATCATCCCTAGCTAACAGGACCAGTGGTCAGGGATGGTGGGAATTGTAGTCCCAAAACAGCTGGAGGGCCAAGTTTGGCCACCACTGGTGTAGGGTATTCAGTTAATACTGAGAGACCTGGATTCAAATCCACACTCGGCCATGGCCCTTTTTAAAGGAAAATTGTTTCCTTAAAAAAAGGGGGGGGCTGTTGGGATACTGCCAGGGAGATAAAGTCCATCAAGGCCCCCAAGCCGTCTGCCGGACGATCCATCTCAGTCTCCCGTAGGCACGCAGCGACATGAGTTTCTAGAAAATATCTTGCCACATTCTAGAGCTCATGCACACTCTATCAGCAGATAGTCACAGCAAAAGTTGCACCCAGGAGAGCATTATTTACAAGTTTATTCAGCGTTGATCAGAACACAGAAAAACATGACCGACTGCTTTAGTGTCTGCGACACAGGAGGAAACGAAAGCAACAGAAAACATAAACATCCTGTGAACAGGAAATACGCAGACTCTGACTCACAAAGCCTGCTCCCTTTTAAGGTGGAACGGAAATATCCTAACATCCTCCCCCTTTCCGTGTAACCTGTAGTACCTGTGGTTCAACCCAATTGCAACCTTTGTACGTAAACCTTAAGTTGTTCTCTGTTAACAACCTTAGACAACAGATCAGCAGGAATTTCATTTCCTGCCATGTAGGACACCTGAATGAGTCCTTTCTGAATACACTCTCTTGCACGATGTAGCTTAATCTGCAAGTACTTGGTCCTTTGCTTGCAACTCTCCGAGTTCAGCAAAGCCAAACACGATCTATTGTCTTGATACACTTGTACAGGACATTTCACAGAAACTCCGATGTCCTTAAACAGTTGCATCAACCATTCACAATCCATGAGTGAAAATGACAGAGCATTGAGTTCTGCTTCACAGGAACTTAGGCTCACTGTCGTCTGCTTTTGCACAGCCAGTCAAACAGACAGTGGTTGTACATGTAGCATACTCCAGAAGTGCTTGTACCATCCGTGGTGTCACTTCCAAAACTTGCATCTGCAAAGATTTCAAGACCTCCAGTCTTCTGACTGGTGAACCTCAGCCTGTAGTGCAAAGTCCCTTTCAAATAGCGGGCTATGCGCTTCAGAGCTTTCCAATCCTGAACAGTAGGATTGTTAGCATGTCTGCTAAGCAGGTTACAGCTTACAGCTATGTCAGGTCTTGAGCATCTAGCAATGAAATTCAACTTGCCTAGAATGCATCTGTACAGCGTTGTGTCAGAAAACGCTTCAGCAGTACTGTCTACCTGGTAACCTGTCACCATCGGTGTGTCTGCTGGGTTTGCATCAACCAAATTCAACCTGGTTAATACATCAGCAATTTTCTGTGTTTGGTGTACCAGAAAATTACCTGCTTGGTCCTTCTCCACCTGCAGAGAAAGATAGTTGGATACCTCACCAAGATCCTTCATGTCAAAGTGCTCCTTCAGCTGAGCTAGGGTGCTTTGGTAGAAAGCCTGATTCTTCCAAAACATCAGAAGATCATCAACAAAACATAAACAATACAGTTTGTTTTGCCCTCCTCCTTGACAAACACACATGGATCAGCTTTGCCCTGGTGAAAACCTAGAGAAAGCAATGTCTCAGTGAGTTTTGTGTTCCAACACCTGGCACTCTGCTTGAGACCATATAAGGATTTCCGCAGTTTACAGATCATTCCCTTCTGTATCTGCATCCCGTCTGGTGGAAGCATAAACACCTCCTCCCCCAGAATCCCGTACAAAAAAGCTGTATTAATGTCATGATGGGAAACATGCAGTTTCTCCTCTGCAGCTATCTTGAGCATCAGCCGAATGCTCTCATATTTGACTGTGGGTGAATAGGTCTCGTGGTAATCCTGTCCTGGTACCTGTGAAAAACCTCTGGCAACCAATCTGGCTTTGTGTCTGACAACCTTGCCATTCTGGTCTGTCTTGGCCTTGAAGACCCATTTGCTGCCAACCAGTCTCATCCCTGGGACTACCGGTACCAGTTCCCAAGTTTGGTTCCTGTTCAAGGAATCAACTTCAGCCTTCATGGCATTAAGCCAAGGCTCAGCATCTTTAGAGGTTAACTCCTGAACCTCTTTGAAGCTTGAAGGTTCCCACACCTTCTCTGAGCTACTAAGAACAGCAGTTGCTGTCTTAGCAAACTCATCAGCAAATCTCTTTGGAGGTCTGCCCTTCGTGGCCCTCTCAGATCTGCGTACTAGACGCAAGTCTTCTGGACTCATCTCCTCCTTCTTAGGAGAAAAGTGACCAATGGTGAACAGTGGTTCTTCCAGTTCATTGTCAGACGCATCAGATGGTCTGACTGAGGCCTTTGCGCTCTTGTAGTCTGCTGTGTCATCACTGTCACTGACATCAGCAGCAGCGCCGCCCACTGAACTGGAATCCGAACTCTGATCATCATCGTCATCATCATCCTCAGCAGCTTCCTCAGCTTTAGCTGCTTCTTTGACATCACCTTCATCCTCCTCTGGGTAACTCTGGAAAATTCCCACATTTTCCCCCCACTTAGGATTGTACTCAACACTCTTTGTGAACTTAATGGACTTAGAGTTGGTCATCCATACCCTGTATGCACCTTTTCGTACCCCATGAACAAACCATGTGCCCCACGCTTCCCAAGCTTGTTGCTCTGTGGGGTGTGTACCCACATGTCAGAACCAAAGATTCTCATGTGCTTGATGTTGGGTTTCTTACCAAACATCTTCTCATAGGGAGTACAACCAATAGGTGATGACAATCTGCGATTATAAGTGTAAGCAAAATTCGCCAGAGCCTCCCCCCAATACTTATCAGGGAGATTGGCATCATGCAACAATGTTTTCATTCCTTGCAGCAACGTTTGATTTGCTCGCTCTGCAAGCCCATTCATCCATGGTGATCTAGGCGTTGACAAGTCATGCTGGATTCCCTTCTCAGTCAGGAAAGCTTCAAACTGCTGAGAAGTGAACTCCCCGCCTCGATCAGTAAACAGACAGCCAATGCGTTTACCATGAACATTCTCCAACCAAGCACAGAATGCCTTGAACTTAGGAAACGCTTGCGATTTCTGCTCGAGCATAAACACATGAATGTACCTGGAAAAAGAATCAATTAGAACCATGAAGTACCTTGCTCCACCCAAAGAGGGCGCAAGTGGACCAACCAGGTCTGCGTGCACTAGCTGGTAGGGTTTGGAAGCCTGCCTGCTAGACTCCTTGCCTTTTGGAGCAACCTTCACCTTGTTCTCTGCACAAGATACACATTTCATGTGAAACTTACAGGGTTTGATGTTCAAACCCTCAACCATCTCTGGCATCTTGGCCAGTGCCTTCCAAGAGAGATGGCAAAACCTTCGATGTGCATCGTGAATGCATCCTGCATGAAGAACTTTGTTAGTTTGTGCAACACAACAAGAATCAGTATTAGACACAACAGCACCAATGTCATCATAAGTTATACAGAACAAGCCATCCATAAACTTTGCATGCAAAATGTCCTCTTTGCCTTTTCTGATGACACAGACGCTCCTCTTGAAGGAAATCTCAAAACCACGCCCAGTCAGCTGTGGGACACTGAGCAAATTGTCTGCAGCACCTGGAACATATAGTACATCTTTGATGGTCGTGTGCAGACTTGCCAGTTTCACAGTCCCTTCTCCCGCAATTCGCAACGTCTTTCCATCAGCCAGGTGGATCACACCTTCTTGAGGTTTGAAGGAGATAAAGAGGTGGCGGTCTTTTGAGACATGGCGGGTACAGCCTGAATCAACAACAAACCTGGCCTTGGCCTTTGGAGCAGCTTTTGCAGCAAGCAAAACCTTGTTTTCCACCGGCGTGGGCTTTGCTGCTTGCCCCCCTGCTCCTGGCCATCAGACTTGCCTTTAGCCTTTGGTGAAGCTGTGCCAGTGCCAGCAAACAAAACCTTGTTTTCCACTGGCGTGGGCTTTTGCAGCTTGCCCCCCTGCTCCTGGCCATCAGACTTGCCTTTAGCCTTTGGTGAAGCTGTGCCAGCAAACAAAACGTTGTTTTCCACCGGCGTGGGCTCTTCACCCTCCCTCTGCTTCTGGCCATCTGCAGGTGTCTGCCTCTGTTTACCTTTGCCCTTCCGGGCTCTGCAAAGGCGATGACCTTGGTTCCCATGAGAAACAGAGCTCTCAGCTGCCGACTCCTTGGCTCCCCCTGGAGGCTGGAATGCTGCCTGGGATGACGTGACAGTCAGCCCCCCTGCAGCTTGCAACCGGTGCCCTCAGCATCCCTGCATTCACTCGCATTCTGGGAAACAGCCAGGACCTCCGATGCAGTCAAACTCTGGGCTGGGATGACTGGCAGATGGGCTATCTTCAAAGCATGCCACATCTTTCGTGCAGTCAGATTGCCAGCTAGCGTTTTATTTCCTCCAGAGAGACGGACAAGACGATTATATCTACCGCCTTCGAATTTTCGGCCTCCCATCTATCTGTCAGAGGAACTGGAGGGGCTTCAGACACAGTATGCCACACTCCAAACTGACGCAGCAAGCTCTCACACCATTTTGCCCAGGTCCCATAATTGTGCCGATTTAACTTTGGGCACTCCGAAGCTTGGAAAAACTCCATTCCAGGTTTCTATTTGAGCCGTGAGTCTTATTCACTTCAAAGACCCCTTATCTTAGCAGCTCATTAATCACGAAGCCTTTGGCGCGTCTCCCAGATCCATTAATCTGCCGGAGTTCAAAGGCCCTTGCCTCGGCAAACAGAAAAGCCTCACTTTCGCTTTTCTTCCACATACCTTTCAGCAGTCTGTCGCAGTCTTACTCTCCTGTAAGTGCTGTGAATCTGGGCCCATAACCTGTTGTTGGGATACTGCCAGGAGATAAAGTCCATCAAGGCCCCTAAGCCGTCTGCCGGACGATCCATCTCAGTCTCCCGTAGGCACGCAGCGACATGAGTTTCTAGAAAATATCTTGCCACATTCTAGAGCTCATGCACACTCTATCAGCAGATAGTCACAGCAAAAGTTGCACCCAGGAGAGCATTATTTACAAGTTTATTCAGCGTTGATCAGAACACAGAAAAACATGACCGACTGCTTTAGTGTCTGCGACACCAGAGAGAAAACGAAAGCAACAGAAAACATAAACATCCTGTGAACAGGAAATACGCAGACTCTGACTCACAAAGCCTGCTCCCTTTTAAGGTGGAACGGAAATATCCTAACAGGGGCTTCATGAGTACTGGAGACTCTTCACTTCTTCCTAAGTTCACCACACAACTTGTGGAGAGTAAAGGGAGTGGTGATGGGGACAAAGCTAGCGGCATGTAGTGAGTTGAATAGGATCCAAAATGCAGCAGTCTGATTGGTCCTAAAACAATAGGATTCAGAATGCAGCAGTCTAACTGGTCCACAGGAGCCACCCAATCCAGCTCCAGGTGGAAGTGAATCTGCAACCTGATTGGCCTACAGGAGAATCCCCGAATTAGCCAATCACGTTGGGCCCATTGTGTAAATAATGTATATAAAGCAGACATTCTGGGGGAACTTCCATTCCTCCTCACCACTATGAGCTGAATAAAGAGCATGAAATCCACTCTCGACTCCAAGTATATTTCAGCTAGCATTTTTCTCCCCACACATTCCTTACATCTTAACACCAAATAACTCTTGTGGTAACTTGCCTGTTTTGGAACTGTCAGACCAATCCTGATTTCTCTCTGTCTGGCTGATTAATATCTACATTTGTCTCTGCATGGCAGGTTTATCCCCCACAACAACTTCATC